AAAAAAAAAAAGTTCTGTGATCAATTCACAATACCTGAACAACCCTGTCTTCTTTTCTATTTTGATGAGAAGCTGCAATGGCAATTTGTTTTCTGTGTGGGGGAGATTATTATTTAAAAGCTTTTGCGCCCCCCCCAAAAAGTTATGCCCTCCTAACTAACATCAAGGAATATGTAGTCAAAAAAAATAAATGAACTGAAGTGCTTTGTGATTTAAATCTAAAACAGTTTTAATTATTTTCAGAGAGCAAGTGGAGCCGGATATGGATCTGCTATTTCCTCTCCTAGCTATTTCCTTTCCTAGCAGCCTCAGTGGCTGTTCAAAACAGTGGTTAGCCATAGTTAGACAGAATAAAATCACCTTCAAGACAAATTCTTACCTTTTATTCCTTTTTTAACTTCTCTTAGTGGGTATTAAAGGTTCTATTTGGAGTACAGAAAATATAGTCTGAATTTTCCAAAATTCAGGCTATACATCAGACAGTTTGTGTCCTAGGCAAATGACTTCTGGATCTAATCAAATAAACAGGTGTTAAAACATAGGGCCTGCAAGGGTGCCACTAAATTCCAGTGCAACACACACTTCTGAAGATATTCCACTTAGTTGAAAAGACCCAACTTATCTTGGGTCATTTGGAGATCACCGCCTTACCTCAGACGCTTCCTGTCTCTTGACCGAGATCTTCTTTTATCCCTGCTACGAGACCTCTCTCTCCTTCTATCTCTATCTCTGCTTCTAGACCGTCTGTCATCTCCACGTTTACTTCTTTTGTCTGAGGGTGATCGACTTCTAGATCGACTTCCAGAGCGTCCTCGTGATGCTGATCGCTTCCGGTAGTGTCTAGATATTATTAAGTTAAAGATTAACCTTAACAAACACTTCCCATTATACTTCATTTTTATTTTATTATACTTTTTCCAAAAACCTGAGAAAGAAATGAAACATTAAAAGGACTTTTAACTATATAAACTTTTAAAAATTAGTGGGAAAAAAATATGACCATTCTGCTACAGTACATGTAAAGGAGGAAAAATCTATCCTAAAAAAGTAACAACAGTAAAGAAAGCAGAAAAAGCTTCTTCCTTTGGGACTTAAGCAGTTTTCACTCTGGCTTAAAATAAAAAATGACAGACAAGAAATAAATATACACTATCACTGGTGCAATGGAGAAAAACAGATCAGAATAAAGAAAAAAGATGGAAGGCAGGAGGTTACCAAGGATGTATTATACAAAATGACTAGCAAAGGTCTAGTTCTCAAAGTAACATTCATTTTAGACATATATCCTAGGCAAGTAAGTGACTTCTGAACCTAATCAAACAAGCAAGGATTAAAACAGAGGGTCTATATAGGAAAGGAATGTATCAGTTGAAAGCCATAGCAAGCACAAGATCCCTGAGGAGGAAGGTTGATTGATGTATTCAAGGAAGGCAGCCAGGGATGAAGGAGTGAGAGTGAGGAAAGTTAAACATGGAGATTTTTCTAGAATCCTAGAGGCAACTTTAGGACTATCTTTTACTGAGTAAGATGAAAAGCTAGAGGGAAATTTAAAGTGAAATAATATAAACTCACTAATGTTTTTAAATACAACCCAATCTGATGAAGGGAGAATAAACCAAAGCAAGGTAAGGGCAGAAGGAAAGCAGTATTTGGCTGAATCAAGCAGACAGATAGGGTTGCTATTTATTTACCAACATGCAAGATCTAACGGAGCAGATGTCATGGGAAACCAGAGGCATCCAAGTTCAGGAGGTAGCTGAAATGAGCCTGGACTTCATAAGACAATGTAAAATGGGGAGTCATCAGTATACAAAGACTACTTCAAGCAGTAAATCTAAATAAGTTGAATAAGGCATATGTGTATCTAACCATGTCTCAAGCACCTAAACTTCAATTTAGAAACCCAAACTTGTTAGCTTTTCCTCCCCAAACCTTTTATCATCTCAACTTCCAGTCAGTGGGATCAACATATTAGTTATCTTCTTTTTCCTATTCTAGACCACCACTAAACACCAATGTTGCCTCCGTAACTTTTTCACATTATATCACATTCTCAGAGTTCCCACTACCACCACTCCGAGACCTGTTATTTAGGACATTTGCAGCGGTCCCTGATCTTTCTGCTGTAATTCCCTTTTCCCTTAAGTTTCCCTCCATCCCCCAAATAACTTCTCCATCCCCCAAATAAATTCTTATTTTCAACACTAAATCTGTAATCCATGGCCATTCTGGTCCAAATCCCTTTCAGGACCTACCTCCCACAATGTCTCTTCAACCCTCTTGAAAACCACATATGTAGGTAAACTGGGCTCTTAACTTATTTAACTAAAAAGTCCTTCCCCATCTCAGTCTTTCATTACTGCCTCAACCAACCAAAAGCACCGGTCTTGAAGATCAAGGAGAAGGATGAAGGGCAATAAGGGGCTGTTTTGTGAAGGGCTTGAAAAGGCTGTGCTCAAGAGTCTGAACGTCATCTTGTCATCAGAGCGCCCAACCCCAAAAGCATATAGCTTAAACTTAAAACTTGTAATCAGAGACCCCACCCGCAAAAGTAGCTTAAACTTTTTATTATAAAAGTTAAATTAAGTAAATCAAATACTAAGCACCATCTTTTGTTCTCCCGACCCTCACTCTCCATCACCTAGTGATTCATTTTCCAACTGCATTCCCAGGAAGCGTGAGAACTGATTGTGCTACATCTCTAACAAAATTCTTGCCCTTCCTAGGTTGATAGTACCAGGGCAAGCATCTGTTGAGCTGTTAATCCCAAAGAACACTCTACAGAAGATAAACATTAACTTGGTGAGCCTATGGTACTGGAATGATGAAGCCCCTTACTCCCCTTACATCCTGCAACTCTTTACATTACTTCCCTGTTTATATAATTACAGCAACACACACACACTCTCTCTCTCTCTCACACACAAACCATTAGGAGAGCCTCTTTTAGGGTATTAACTTTATGATGCCCTTCGTGGTAACCAATTCACATAATAAACTCCTTTGTGCAAGGCAGTCTCAGGGTTCAGAGTTTGAGAGCTTGCAGTCTTGGAAACAGTAAGAACCAGCAAGAGACTAAGCAGGGGAATGACATGATTTTATCTTTATTTTGAGTCACCCTGCCCATAGTGTACAGGGGCGTTTAGGCAAGCAAGATGAGAGGTATATAAACAATTTGAGGCAAATAGCAGTATGACAAATAGATTAGGACCCAAATTAAGACAAGGAGAGCAAGAATGGGGACAGGGTGCAGAAACCAAGGGCATGCAGGCAGTGAGAGAGAAGAATGAGTCAAGTAAACAGCATTTGCAAGTTTCTGGTTTAGGTAGCAAGATGAATAGCAGAGATTTAAATGAGCTTCACAAGACGTTGCTGTAGTTATGAAAAATCATCTTTATCCAAGAGATAAATTAATTCCTTGATTTCATCAATCTTTACTCTAAAAAAAAAAAAAAGGCCTCACAATCCCTGGATATGCAGGGTTTCCCTCATTAAGTGCAAGGCAGTCATATATGCCAAAAATCTCAAAGTACGGAACCAGTTAACAATCTAACTTGACATCAGACTTCCAAATAAGACCTCTCAGTCTACAGTTTCAAAAGGATGGAAAGCAAAGAAACATAAAATCGAGTCGCAAAGTAAATGCCCATCAGTATTCATTATTAACTTGTCTAGTAAACAATCACAGCCTAGATACTGACTGTGTGGGTGATGTAAAAATGTCTGTCCCCAAGCTCCTTTCAACGACTTGGGAAAACACCACATAGGTACAATGAACAGAAATACAGGTCGACTGGCGCCAAGTAAATGTTGCAAATGCAAGAAATTCGACTGGGTTCATGAATGAGGCGTTCAGGGCGGGCTTCGTGGAAGTGGCAGGATGTGGGGCCCATCGCCGAGGTGCTGGACGCGCGTTCGCGCCCCAGGAGCTCGAACCATCAGATGGTGGTGTGGGGGAGCCCTGTGCCCATCGCCGGCCCCCTGAGCCGAGGTCCCCCCGACCCCCACGGGCCGCGGGCAAAGCTGACCGCACGTGGGGTCGCGCCGGGCCGGGCGAGGCCCGCGGCCACCTCAACTCCCGCCTCTTCCCCCACCCCAAGGAAGCCGCTGCCCCACAGCTCGCCGCCTCACCGAGACTCCCGGCCCATGCTGCCGGCCGCAGGAAAGCGGGCACTTCGGAACGACGCGCAGCAAAATTAGACAAAGGAGGAGACCGCGCCGCCTTTGGCTCGCCGGACGAGGAGGGCAGCACTAAGAAGTGGCCGCAGCTACAGCGGTGGCAGCCATCCGACAGTGGCCAACGAAAACAGGATGAGGAGCCAGCGGCAGAAGGAAAGGAAGCGCCGGCCGGAAGCTGCTCCCTACACAGCGCCACCTTGCGGTTGGAGGCCGCACGGCGCCTGCCACGCGGAACTAGCTGCCTCTGTCTGGTTAGCCCGTACCGACGCGAAATTGGCGGCTCCAGAGAGGTGGGAAACGTAGCGCAGAGGTCACCTAGAAGCCCAGCGAACCAGGAGTTGTCCTCGGACGTGTGGAGGTGTCCTCGGACGTGTACAGACGTCCGCTTAACCTCTGTTAAATGATGCTTACGGACATTTCCACTCACTCTCCTTCATTTAGTCATTGATTTATTTACACTGTTAAAACAGATTTTTACAATCTTATTGAGATGGATGCAAATTACTAAAAATAGAAGGGGATATATTCCCAGAGAGTCCACAAGTTAGGGGTGAGACAGTGACCTTTGAGATAGGATTTGAAGACTGAATAACAGTTACGATGGACACAAGACCTGGCAAGTTACAAATGAATTCACAATGCTTTAATGGTTCTCCCCATTGCCTGGGCTTAAAATTAACTACAACAAAAAAGGGTGTGTAGGGTGGGGGCAGGGGGTTGTTAGATCCTCATATTCTGGATCTGGAGTGCTACCCATGCATTAGGAAATTTGTTTACCAGGTGAAATTCTGAAGTACAGTCAAGGTTGAGAATGACAACCCTCAGGAAACACACCGAATAGTTGTTTCAGCCGAAAGCTACTTTACATGCCTCTGTAGTGTGTTACTTTCTTACACCTAGGCTAACAGAGAAGTTCTGTATTTACATACATTGTGGTGGCTGTTCAGTGGATATGGATAGGTTTGTAAAACTCGCCGAGGTGTATACTTGAAATTGGCTGTTTTAAATCTATGAAAACTTTACCCCAATAAATTTTATTGAAAAATGAAACCAGTTAAACTCCCAAGACTAAACGGTTTTCTTGCTGCTTAATGCTCACCTGTGGCAGCAGTGGAGACCTGAAGACTAGAGGAGGGGTTCTGGAAGTTCGTGTCAAGGGTAACGAAGACCTGAACTAAATGTTTAACAATTGGACACCAATGAAGGTCAGGTATCAGAATCACTGTAGAGCTTATATGCACTGTAGGTAGAGTATGGATTTTAGTCTATGTGGAATAAAAAAATCACTAGCAGCATAACCAGGAGAGACGCTAAGAATTTGTCAAGATTCTCATGTGTTCTTAAGCAGTGCTGTCAACACTAATTGACAAACTGGATGTGAGCTGTGAGGAAAAGCGAGAAATAAATATGACACTTAGGTCTTTAACAGAACTTGTAGAAATGAAAAAGGTAAGGAAGCCGATTTGACATCATGCTTCAAAAGCCTACTAGATACTCAGAAGAAAGTCTGGATAACCTAACAGGATTTAAGCCTGGAGTTCAAGAGGGAAATAGAAGTTGGAGAGATAAGGGACAGAGAATTTGGGTGTGGCGGTTAAATCTCAGATCCATCACCCTACTGTGGCCCAAGGCCTAAGCTCAATCCTCAGCCAAGGTGGTGACCCACACAGCACAGCAGACCTCTCCTGTCTCACTCACCTGCTGCTCCACTCAGCAGTTTACTTCGTCGATCTGCCTGTTCTGCTCCCTACTGTCTGGTGAATCACCCTCTCCCACCCCCTGCAACTATGGCCTATATCCCAGTTCTTTTATGCATAAAGATAAATCTTTATTAAAAAATCTTTGTACTATAGAATGGATAACGATCTACACTGCCTGTGTCAGCCAGCTAAATGGGGTCTTTTTTTTCCTTAGTGAAGGCCCTTATTATCTCCCTAGAGAAGAGTAACAAATCCATGAAAGATGCTTTCCAAACTCTTTTATACTAGGTTCATTATGAAAGCAGGAAAACTATGTTTTTAGTCTTCCTGAAGTGAGGGAATAGACCTAAATAATCATACTTTTCCCCATTATTCTGGTCTAAAATAAAATGACAAAAATCAAGACTTTGTGAGTAATAAAAAAAAGTGTATGTTTTTAATATCACAAGGATTAACCAAATGGACCATACAAAAATTTGTAAGGGAATGTAATACCAAGCAATATGACACTTATGTTTTACACTCTGTTAAGACAAAGCTCCCAAATATGAGAGTGTTAACAAATTGCTTAAAAGGATTATTTATAGTGTTGGGTTGCATACCACAGGCAACTCTTCAAATTCCATTTTTATATCTAATCATTCTTTTCTAGTTTGCTTAAAAAACACTACTTCTAAAAATTTAAAACTCAGAAGTGAAAACATCCAGTTTTGAGTTTGGTAAAAATTTCATAAATAAAAAATTAAATAAAGATTTCATAAATACCTTCTGATTTCACATGTATGAATTATAATCATTAAATACTTGCACTCAAGAAAAACCAGACTCAACAGAAAAAGATCAAATTGGCTACCTTATTCAGCCCTTTATATGTTCAGACTTAACATTAGACAATTCAGTTTCTTACATTTTATTTTAAGATGGCTCCACTGCTGAGGACATAACAACACAAATACAAGATACAGTCCCTTGGGGCTATCTGAGACCATGTTTATTTGATCTCCCTAAAACACTAGGTCAGCCCCTCAAAGGAATTATAAATTTGGTAAGATTGGAAAAGGTGTAGATTGGGGATTCTAGTTCATCAAGGAAAATCAATTAACAAGGTACTCTATTCTTCACATCACTATTAATTACAAAGTCAACCCTTTTAAATCAGAGAACCTGTCATTTCATTCCTAATCAAGTAGTTTACAAGTCCTATAAAGTAAAGCATTACATGAAGGTGTGAACCTGTCTGGCTCCTGTAGGGACACTGCAACACAGAAGACAAGTTGTTTTTAAGTTTCTTCTTCTGAACTCTGCAGGTTTCATGGTACTTCAGAACCCCAATAATCAAGCAGTTCATGACAAAAAATAAAAGTGAAAAAGTAGACACAGAGATCTGTGAAAACTTCGCCCATTTTGCTATAGGTATCCATGGATCGATTTATCACCTCAGCAGGAATTCCAGATAGCAGAAGTGCTGCTGTTAATACTGTTGTCTTTATCTTCTTTTCACCCTGTATAGAGAAAGACTTAAATAAATCTTACAGCTTATAAAAAACTGCTTAAGCTCTAGAAAAATATTACCAATATTACTTTTGCCTGATTTCAAAAGTATTAATGAAGTTTCAAATCATCAATCAATAATCTACTAACAAATACTTACTGTTCACAAAATATGTAAAGTAGCAAGCAGATGGACTGAGGGACATGAAATTTAAAACAGGCCTTTAAAAATGAGCAAGATTTAGATGGGTAGATGTGAACAGTAAAAACAAAATTCAAAAGAATGCTGGAAAGGTGTCTGGGACTGGCCCTGGCCACAGGCTGTAAGAGGGCAAGGCAGGCAGGGCCTTAAGGTGGGAAGGCGGCGTTGCGAGTGGAGCTTCGGAGAGGAGTGTGTAATGTGCGCCAGAATCAGACTATAGTCAGTTACCATGCCAAGGAATTCACTCTGGATCACTTGCCAAGAGAACATCATCGATGGTTCAGAATATATTTAGAGATGAGAGAACATTGGTACTCTATTCTATTTTCATTTTCTAAGAGATTCAAGGCTGAATTTTCATTTAATTTATTGACATAGTATCACCAAATCTAGTCACCTTGTTCAGAAACTTTAGAAATATAGTTACTCAAGAGAATCAAAGCCCACATCTACTAAAAGGTTAACTCAAGAAAGTTAACTTCTTCAATCATCAAAAATTGAAAATAATCAAGATACCCACCAACAGGAAATTAAATAAATGGATATATTTATATAATGAGTTACTATTCAGAAAAAAAAAAGATATGAATTACTTTATACTGAACAACACAGATGCATGCCAAAAATACTACCCAGAATGAAAAAATCCTCACATAAAAAGGATGTATAAAAAATGACCCCATTTAGGGCCCTTGCTGGTGGAGAAACGGGATTAGACCTTGAGGGTGTAGAGACTAGGGCTGCCTGGAAAGGTGACAAATTCAGCTCTAAACTTTTAAAGGATTTAGGTTTCATAGGCTGTCAAAACTCATGAAATGGTACACTAAAGATCTGATCATTTTGCTATGTAAAAGTTTTACCTTGAAGAAAAAGGACCATAAAGGGCTTCCCTGGAGGCACGAGGGGTTAAATCTCAGCACTATCAAGCTATTGCCAGCCACTGTAGCGTAAATTCAATATCCAGGGAGCTGACCCGCATTGATAGAATAGACCTCTCCTGTCTTGCCACAGATCTCCTCAGCAGTGTATTTCAGTACATCTGCTTGTTCTGCTCCCTTCTCTGTCTCTGGTGAACCCTCTCATTCCCCAACCTCTGGCCTTCCACCCCATTTCCTGTGTACATAAATAAAATAAATCTTTAATAAAAAAAACCATAATAAGCAAACACTGCATTATACTTAAGATATGTAACCTGAGGTGTGTAGAAGTATATTGATGTCTACATTTATTACATACTTTGAAGTGCATTCAAGAAAATGACGATGTATTGAAAATTAACAGAAATCTGGATACATAAAAAATATGAAATGCTAATTACAAATCCCGGCAGTAAGTATAAGTGAATGCTCCCTGCACAATTCTTATAACACTGCTATGTGTTTAAAAACTTATTCAAGGGCCCTCCCTGGTGGCACAACGGGATTAAAGCACAGCACTGTGGGCTGTCCGAGACGACTGTAGCATGAGTTTGATCCTCGGTCAGGGAGCCGACCCACATGGCACAGAAGACCTCTCGTTATGCCTGCTACTCCCCGCAGCAGTGATTTTCAGTCAGTTTGCCTGTTCTGTTCCCCACTTTGCCTTTAGTTAATCTCACCCTCCTCACCCACACACACCTCTGGCTTATGCCCCAGTTCTTATATACATAAATGAATAGGTTTTTTTAAATAAATTTTTAAAAATAAAAACTTAATCAAAATGGTTTAAGAGAAAGTGTACAACAGTATCCTTTTCTTTCCTCTTCTCTATTTACCTAGTAACATATATACACCCCATGACAAGTAACCATTGTTAATAATTTCAGATTTATCTCTCCAGTTTCATCACACATGTACAAACAAGCACAATCAAATACATACTGCTATACATTTACCAAAAAAAAAAAAAAAAGATTATGAACAATAGATCCTTTTGTGTATTTTGGATTGTTCTCCTGATAATTCTTGACAAGCTTTACATGGAATGTTTCATCATTCCAAAGGGATATGCCATAGTTTTAAGATTTTTTTTTTTAAATTTATGCATTCAAGAACTGGAGTGTAGGCTGGATGTGTGAGGGGTGAGAGGATTCACCAGAGACAGAGTGGGCAGAACAAGCAGACCAGTCTGCCACACCATGTGGTTCAGCTCCCTAGTCGTAGATCAAACTCATGCCACAGTGGCTGGTGATAGCTTGATAGCACTGAGACTTTAACCCCTGCACCATCAGTGAGGCCCACAATTTTTTAAATACTCACTTATTAAAACATTTAGATTGTTTCCAAACTTTTGCTATTGCAAAGCTGAAACCAGTATTTCACGGGTAAACTTCTAAACAAACACTAATTAAAATTTTACTTGCTTCTTTATCCTTTTCCTTTCTATATTTTATCTATTTGACTGCTCAAAAATATAAATGCTTTAGAGTGAGAGGGGAAAAGTAAATAAATAATGAATAAATAAATATTTCATATCCATTAAAAGTATACATGAGTTCAGTACATTACAAATGACAAAGCAAATAGTCAAATGGTCATTTCTCAGCAAAAAGAAATTCACACAAAACTCAATCACAAATAATATTATCTTCTATGCCAACCAAGTCAAGTCTCATAAAACCATGAATACATCTGCAGTCAAGCAGCCCAGACACACTCTGACAATCGGCAGGATCCTTCTATTTTGCCCAAACATTTTTGGAAAACATCAGGTTCTCAACAAAAATGATAAAATGTCTGAGAAGGAGCAAAGATAATGGAACCCATTAAAAAAAATCTATTCCCTCTGGTGACAGGGGGTTAAGTCTCAGTGCTATCACCACTGCAGCCTGAGTTTGATCCCTAGCTAGGGAGCTAACCCACATGGTGCAGCAGACTTGTCCTGTCTCATCCATTGCTCCCTTCAACATTATACCAGTAGATCCAACTGTTCTGCACCCCACTCTGTTTCTGGTGAATCTTCTCATTCCCCCATACCTCTGGCTTACACCCCAGTTCTTCTATGCATAAAGTAAGTTAACAAATCTTAGAGGAAAAAACACTAAATTAAAAAATGTATTTCCTTTGTTACAAACAAATGTACTACTACGTTTACTAAGTAATTAAGCTGAACATTATCTTATACTGGCATTATTCAACTCTGGAGTGAAGTTTCTCCTCTACTCCACTGTGGATCAGTATTTTTATAGATATTAAAATATTATGGCAATATCTAATAGCTATAAATGTTTCTAGTTACTGAGTTTCAGAAATTAACTCATCACAAACAATGCTAAGCACTGTGATTGCGATGCACTGAGTCAGATCATAGTATGACTTTTTTTTTAAGATTTATTTATTTATTCATACAGAACTGGAGTACAGGCCAGAGATGCGGAGGGTGAGAGGATTCACCAGAGACAGAGTGGGGAGCAGAACAGGCAGATCCACGAAATACACTGCTGAGGGGAGCAGCGGGCGGGTCAGGAGAGGTCTGCCTCGCCATTTGGTCACCTCCCGGGCAGGCAGGGATCGAACTCATGCGGAAGTGGCTTAAGCTTCTTAGTGCTGTGCTTTAACCCGCTGCGCCACCAAGGAGGGCCCATGACTTTTTTTTTTAATGTTTAAAGTTATCTATTTGTTAATCAGTCTAAATACATCATCATAATTTAGAAAAAAATTATAATTTACCTTGGGAAAATATTTGTATAGTCCCATGTACGCAAGTTGTAAAGTAAGAAATGGAGCAAATATGGACTGTGAAGATAAAAGACAAAATTAAGTATATCCAAAGTAATCATACTAATAACAATAAATAACATTGAACTAAGAGCAGCTATAAAATTCCAAGCATAAGAACCTATAATACAGCATTTAATTTTAATAAAGATAAAGGGTGGATAAAGGGATTTGATTTCCTAATCATAAAACATATTTCTCAAGTCAATTCTAAACTCAAATTTTTTTCATAAAACTCTTATCTTTTTTTTTAAAACTCTTATCTTTTAATGATTTTAAGTATTCAATGGCATCAGATGTATACTTATCATGCAGTAACATCTTCCTCATCTAGAAGAAAATAACTGACAAATGAAAAGCTGACATATATAAAAGGCCTAGTACTCAAAACAGACTACATCCATTTCTCAAATTGTAAAGAAACTAATTAATATAGCTGCATCTTTGGCCTAGTATGAGCTAGTCATACTATATATAAAATAGCTGGCTATCTTGTTTTTCACGCGACACAACAGTAAAGTTCGTAACACTTAATTGACATAATTGCTTCTAAAATAAAAAATACTATGAAGGGAGTAAAGGTACAAACATTACTAGCTAACAAGATAAAAAAGTATAGTAAGAGCAGTGAAAAGTGATAGTTGCAACCTGAAAATAAAGAAAATCAGGCAACCAAATCACTGCTCACAAAAATGAGGCATAAAAATAGGACATAACTTTAAAAGCACAGAGCACTTGATATAAAAAGAGCAATTCATTTACTGAATGCTTAAAGTTTTTAAGACAATTAGGGAAAAAAAAATTCAAAACTGTTGAACATATGCTCCTTAAGAAAAGATGTGAATAAAAATAGGCCACCAAAACAGATTTTTTGCCTGATATAAACCTTAATTACCTGGAAAACTATATGTGTCTGGCACATGTGAGCACTGAATATAAGTATCTCAAAGAGCCCAGCACTGAACTGCGAGTCATGCCTTTCTGTATTCCTCCATATAATGTAAAAGAGACAACTAAATCCCAATGGACAGCTAAAGCCCAAATGCTAAAACCATTAGCATTTGACAGTACAATAAAAATGGAAGGACACTATCATACATTATGATATGTTGAACTGTCTCTGAACCATAGAAAAAATTACATGTTCAGGACCACAGGGATTACACTTTAATATTTCAAATTATTTTAAAGTTTGGTAGCTAATACACAGTGAATGTGTGTATGTACCTATATTTGTGTTCCTTCTGTATTCGAACAAAATTTTTGTGACCCTGAGCAAGTGATTTAACCTGTGGTTTTATTCCTCATCTATAAAACACAGAATCAAAATATATCAAGTTCCTAAGGATGAAGATTACATGAATTAATAAATGTACAAGCACTCAGAATGTTACCTGGCATGTAAGAGGTTAATAACTGTAATTCAGTTCCATATTTAAGCACACTATTTCATTCTGTGACTAAGGTAAGTACAGTTTATATACATCGCCAATTAGTCAAGTCTATCTGGTAATTAGTAAGACTGACAATGAATTCAATGGGTAAAAGGCACTCCTTACTATAATTTGCATTCCAATGTTTCTTACCAAATATTTGCAAACAAAAGCTCTGACTCCAAAGGCAAGAAGAGCACATCCCACCAATCTAAATATTCGAAAAGAGTCAAATTCTTCTGTTGTATTTCCATCCTCTTGACTGGGTTTTTCACTAATCAGTTGTTTCCTTAGCTTCATTGCTTCTTCAAATCTGGAGAGGTACTGTTCTAAACCATGGCGAGGACCCCTCTGGGCAGTGTCTGCTGTCAGGTCCCCTCTGTTCCGCTGCCGGAGGTCATCATTACTGCACTCAGGGTGCTTCATCAAAGAGTCCAATTTGTCTCCCAGCTGAGTCCCCTTTACTTCGGCCACACCACTCTGCTGCTCAGTTGCTCCTATACTGACAGAATCACCCAGCACTACTCGCTTTGAAACAGAAGGAATGTTGAGGGAGTTCATTTTATCACTGTCCTGTTGCTTTGAATTTATTTGACTTTCTTCTTCTGGGAAGAGAATGTAGAAGCCTTGTGTATTATATACTGGCAAAATATATTTCACCTTAATATTAAAAATACGCTGTTGCAGCTACAACTCAGCAGTCTCTGAATCTACTGATTACCCATAAAAGCTAAACTACTTCCTTCCTCTACACCCTCAAAACATAGTGCCCAAAAAGAGTGTTTCTGCAAAGTATATAACCCAAACTTTGGGGGTAGAGAAAACAAGGAGACAATTTGGGAAAGACAGTCAGGGAGGGGGGAAATAATAATATAATATATCCTGAAAGGATATATTATTCCTGCTCTAACTTACATTGTTCAAAATATTAAATTATGAAAGTTTTAAATAATCTGCATTTTATTATTAGATTCTTGCACCCAGATTCCCGTCAGCACCGGGTGTGGCATATTCTCCAGATACTGTTTACATAATCCTGCTTCAACAGTCAGGGAGCCATTAGGAGATACAAGCAGTTTCAGAATGCTGTTCTGGTTTTAAACAAAACAAGACCAAGAAAACTTTAATGATGGAAACTGGCAGATAAAAATTTTCAGAGCACAATAACAAGTATCTCAAGGATAATAACAAATGCTTTGAAAAAAAGAATAACATGTTATAATCATCCTAGGAAAAAAGGTGCCTAGTAACTATTGTTCTTGGAGAACTGAAATAATAATCTTACCTCTCTCTTTCTGTGTTTCAGCTGCCAACCTATGAAGTGTCTAAAGGTTCAGAGATACAAACTAGAGCCCCAAAGAATAAAAACAAAGGGCAAGGTGTTTGCAACCAATGGCTACAGTCCAAGTAGTAAAGGAAACACTCAAAGGAAACAGAGTCTCCCTCCCTAACACATACTACCCGTTCAATACAAACACATGACAAAAAAAAAAAAAAAATCACCTTTCAAGAAACTCATGGTACACGTCACTGGGGGAAGAAATGAGGAAGTCCTTTTAGGCTTAAATGATATCAATCTCAGTGCCCAGGAGCCAAGACCTCACTTGTTGGGTATATAATAATGTTGGTTCCTGCTTCCCCCACCCCCACCCCCCAAAAGCGTTGTAGTTAACAATGTTGACGGCACAGACCACACACTAGGATATGACCGTAAGAATCCCTGATTCGCGCAGGAAGAACGCGGGGTCAGTTCAGTAAAGACCAACCTAAGGTGGCCCACAGAGTGCTAGCCAAGGCAAAAGGGTTGATGGCAGGAAGGCCCGGGAATGGAATGCTTCTGTAACGGACTGAATGGAAACACTCTACCCAAGGGCCACAAAAGGCACAGCGGTTAGGGGATGGGGAAAGAAGAGGGCCGCCTCGGGGTGACTGGAAGGAGGGCACCATGGTAAAGGAACTCAGGAACTAGGGGGCGAAGGGGGTGGGGACAACTTCAGGGGAAACACCCAGAAATCGAGGGCAGTGAGTAGGCACGCCCGGGGTTTAAAGAGTGAGAACTCGGGACAGCGCCTCAGGAGTGGCGACTGGGGGAGGTCAGGGAAAGGGGCTTGAGCAAAAAGGTCAGCGGCGTGGGTAGGGAAATGAGGAGTGACCCTGCAGACTCAAAGACCTGAGTGGGAGTGAGGGGAAACCGAGATTCTCACCCGCGCTGCTCCCAGGCCTGTGAAAGCCCATGATCCGGTTGATGCGCTGTTCCGAGTTCATGAGCAGTTTTCGCCGCCGCAGCTCGGCTCGACGCTGGGAAGAGGACAGGCCTGAGCCCGCCGGGGGCCCCGGCCGGTCCCCGTTTTCTGCAGCAACGGTCACCGGCTCCATCTTCTCTACAATCAAGGGCCGGTGATGGTGGTGCTAGGGGCGGCAGCGGGGGCGCGGATGACTTCAGACTCGGCTACGGAGCGCGCGTCGCCTTCCCACCTCAGATCCGCCCACAGAGTATGAGGCTGGCCCTGCCGGCCAAACACGCGCGCCGCTGACGACACCATGCGCGATGCTGTTGCCGCCATCTTTGATGAGGGCAGAGAGGGTGGCCTCCCGTTCCTTTCCCACCGCGAATAGTCGTAGGACGTGGAAGTAGGAGCGGTTCATCCGGCACTAGTGCCAGGAAGTAAAATGGTGTTTATAACGACACGCCCTTGTTTCTAAGGCACTGCTGAGGCCTCGCTTGTAGGCGGACGAAATACGTAACTCCGGTAGCGACGCTATAGGGAGCAGTGCGCGTGGGTTTTGTGTTGGGGGCTAATTCCTCACTCAATCGTTTTTCTCTCAAATACGTGTCTGGTGTCTCCTCAGCCTTCCTCATTCCTTTGTTGAAGATTGCCAATGAAGACCCCTTCATTGACACCTTCCCAGCACTCTCTATTGTCCTTACCTGCTTATTTCCCCCCTCCACCCCGTATCACTTATATAATCGACCCCCAATGCTTAAAGTATTTATTTACTTTTCCCAAAATATTACGATACCCTGCTTATCTGTAGGGACCAAAATCTTTAAGCACAGGACTGTGACTTTAAATTGTGTAATAAGTCTACACAACTTGCTTCCCAGATGAAGCAAAACCAACGCAATTCCAGAATAAAGATTTTTCTCGTTTGAGAGGTTATGGAAGGCGAGTGAAAATCTTGATTTTTAAAAAATAGGTATGTTGGTGGCTCATTTCGCTAAAAATAGAAAGTCAAAATTTTGTATTAGATGTTTATTTCTGGGAGACTATTGGGTTTGCTGTAGTTTACTGAACTTCCTAGTAGTTTCCAGGGATAGATGTGATTATTTCATAAATGATATGCATACTTAAGATTCTTCATTCATTTCCCTTTGCCTCACTATAATTTACAAGGGCAAGTCCCATTCATTTTCTTTGAATTTACCACTTTTCCCCAAGTATAACATATGAGAGCATGAGATTTAAGTATAATTAAATATTTACAAAAAATGTTTCTTCAGAGAAAGTATCAGAACTTTCAACAGTTTTATGTACAACTTTTATTTGATCTAGCTTTGTTTGGGCAGACAAATAGCAATACTTTATTTGGTCAATTTAAAATACAAAGCTGAACGGAGTGGTTCATCTGTGATAAAACTAAATCACTTTCTAGGGTTAAAGCTAGGCAATAAATTGATGCTTGGACTCTTCTCTTCTATACACACCAGAAGTTAAAAATATAAAGAGAGAGAAAGAAATAGCTGAGCTCAAAAACAAGAGAAGAATCTCAGTAGATCAAAGTATCAGAAGTACAAAGCATTGTGAAGCTGAAGTTAGGTGCCTGCTGGGCTGCAGGTCCAAAAACAGGCAGTAAGTACACTCTATAAGTTAGGACATACTACAACGACATCACATGATGGACAGAGATGAACGGACAAAAGTCTTCCTTGATGTTAACCCTCCCTCCAAAGACATTCAAACTATTACTTGCTATTGACCCATATAGCCTTTTTATTTAAAGATGTATTTATTTACTCATACAATGACTGGGGTACAGGCCAGAGGTGAGGTGGACGTTTCTAAGAGGGTTCTCCAGAGACAGAGTGGGAAGCAGAACAGGAAGATCAACTGAAATAACTGCTGAGGAGAGCAGCAGGCAGTTCAAGAGAGGTCTGCCACACAATGTGGGTCAACTCCCTGGCCAGTGATTGAACCAGTGATGCATTGGCTACTGACAGAATCATAGTGCTTCGCATTAACCAGTTGTTCCACCAAGGAGGGCCCTGATCCATATAATCTTAAACTTCAGCTTTCAGAGGAGGCAGGATAAAGGACAACAGGACTCCCAACTGTTGATAAATGGAATGGTGATTTCCCAAATTATCTCAAGGACAGGACCTTCACACCAACACTATCAGCCCAGGTTTGGGGGAGAAGGTTCAAAAAATGCACACGGCGCAAAAGACCTCTCCTGTCTTGCCAGCTGGTCCCCTAAGCAGTGTTCTTCAGTATGTCCTGCTCCCCACTCTGTCTCTGCCCATCCCCTCACCGCCACTGCACTTCTAACCTGTACCCCAGTTCTGTGTGCATAAATAATCTTTAAAAAATAAAATGAGGGCCCTCCCTGGTGGCGCGGCAGGTTAAAGCACTGCACTGAGAAGCTAAAGCCACTTCCGCATGAGTTCCATTCCTGCCTGCCCCGGAGGTGACCACATGGCTCAGCAGACCTCTCCTGACCCGCCCGCTGCTCCCCTCAGCAGTGTACTTTGTCGATCTGCCTGTTCTGCTCCCCACTCTGTTTCTGGTGAAGCCTCTCACCGCCCCTGAGCTTCTGGCCTGTACCCCAGTTCTGTATGTACAAATAAATAAATCTTTAAAAATAAATAAAATAAAACGAGGCCTTCCTGGTGGGGTACCGGATGAAAGCACAGCAATAAGAAGCTAAAGCCACTACCGCATGAGTTCTATTCCCGCCTGCCCCGGAGGAGATCCACATGGCGATGCAGACCTTTCCTGACCCTCCCGCTGCTCCCCTCAGCAGTGTACTTCGTTGATATGCCTGTTCTGTTCCCCTCTCTGTCTCTGGTGAATCCTCTCACCCTCCACATCTCTTGCCTGTACCCCAGTTCCATATGAATAAATCTTTTAAAATAATAAACAAAAAGACTCTCACAATCAAATGAACCTAAAGCCCAAAATCTAACAAGCATGAAGAAATCTAAATTCTGCCAACCAAATTAAAAATTGTAATTCAGTCCAGAAAGAATGATACAATACTTTAAGCATTCTTTACACAAAACAGGCAGAAATGAAAAATAGACCAATATTTTAAAAAATCAGTCTTAGAAATGAAAACTGTGGTTATGCAAATATAACCAATAGATGATATTAGTTCAATGATACTGAATTAGTACTCAATAGATGAGCTTAAACTGCAATGTAGACACTGTCAAAAAAGAAATTCCCTCCAGCAGGAATCCTGAAGGTAAAAAATAAGAGGGAATGATAGAGAAATATTTAACAGTCTTATATGTCACTCAGTTAAATGAAGAAAAAAAACACAGCCAAGAAGATTCCCAAATTGTAGACAGACAAGGATCTTTGAATATAAGTGTACTCTAAAAAACAAACATGAGGGCCCTCCCTGGTGGTGCAGCGGGTTAAAGCACAGCACTAAGAAGCTAAAGCTACTTCTGCCCCGAGATGACCCACATGGCGCAGCAGACCTCTCCTGACCCGCTGGCAGCGCTCCTCAGCAGTGTACTTCCACGATCTGCCTGTTCTGCTCCCCACTCTGTCTCTGGTGATCCTCCCACTGTCCCTGCACCTCTGGCTTGTACCCCAGTTCTGTATGCATAAATAAATCAATCTTTAAAAACAAACAAACATGATAGTCATACTCTGAAACAATAAGCTATAGTAAAACTGCAGAATAGCACGGATAAAAGAAAAAATATTGAAAGCTAACAAACTATCTTCAAATAAACAACCATTAGACTAACAGGAGCAATCAGTAACAAAAGGATCCAAAAAACAATACAGTTATCTCAAACATAAAGGAATTCTTGTTTAAACTTACAATATAGAATTTTAAACCCTAGCTATCTTTGAGGAATAAGCAAGAACTCTGTTCATGGCCCCCAGATACCAACTTTGTGTTAGGCACCTTCAGCATAGTTTTCATCAATTTAACTTCCATGTACAACATAGCACTACTTAATCAGTGACTGGCAAGTTCTTTGTTTCACTTTCTTTTTTTTTTTCCATAGCACTGGGGTGTAGGACAGAGGTATGGAGAGATTAAAGGACTCACCAGGGACAGGGTGGGGAGCAGAAAAGGCAGATTGGCTTAAATTCTCTGCTAAGGGGAACAGAAGGCAAGACAAGAGGTCTACTGTGCTATATATGGTTTAGCTCCCTGACTAGGTATTGAACTCAGGCCTTAATGGAGATAGTGCTGAGACTTAACAGCTAAGTCACTAGGGAGCCCCGACATATCACTTTTAATAAGTCACTATATATAAGTTCTTTCAATTAACTTTTATTGAATAGCCAAATTGATAAGTTAGCACAGTTCAAGTGATTATTTGCATGGTTACAAATGAGTTGGTTTTTTTACAGCAATAAAACAGTGAAAATTACAAACTGTAAAAAGGAAGACAAATCTTGTCTCTTAACATTTCAGAGAAGCAAGATTGAACACAGCACATTGAAGATCAATATGTATTTGAATTTGAGGACAAGAATTGAATGTTACAATATTATACACTACTTTACAAAATTAAAATCTCTATATAAGGATTATATTTGTAATAGTTAACAAAATCTTGAAATCACATTTGGTGGTCCCCTAGATAATAGCTGTTATGCATCTTTGATTAAAAGAAATAAATCTTTTATTCTAATTATTGTAAAACAGTCTATTAGACTCAATATATTTAATTAAATTAAAACAATGAAATATATGCTAACTAAAATAAATGATACTGTTTGAGTGAATATTAATGTCAGACTTACAGAAATGTTATTTAAAAAATTCTAGAAATTAGAAAAATAGAGTACTTTTTATGATAGGACTGCCATGCTCAGATTTAAATACCAAGATTGCCCTTGTCTGTTACTTTAGTAGTTGTAGTTCTGTAGAAAATTCAAGGATCTTTCATAATTTACAACTACAATAAAAAAAATATGGCCTAGTGTAAGTATTAGTTGCTTTACATCAAAGGTAATACAAGATGGGAAAACAGGTCGTGTCCTGCAGCAAAAGAAAACTAAACTAAAAATATGTTCAATATTGCAAAAAAAAAAATTGTTTATTTATCAATATCTCCAAAAGGTTCATCTCATTCCCTCATTTTTGGAGAACAATTATTGTGAATCCTAACTGAAGTTATGATTTTTATGACCTGGCTATTATAAAATAATTCTGGATTGCACATGTTATACATTATCTAAAAGAAATTTTTAAAGTAAATTTGTGAAATATACTAACAAAGCATATGGTAATAACAAGAGTCATACCCACTAGGGATGAAGTGAGGCACAAGGAAGATTATTGTCCCTAGAAGCACAAACATTCTCCTCTGGAAGGTTCTTCACTACTATTAAGAAAGGATTTACAAATATCAACATTTAAAATTCACATTATGAAGATAATTTTAGTTACTTTAAGAAACATCAGTGCACAATGACTCCGTTTCTTTAAAAGGAGGGAAAATATAAATTTAATTCGCTACAATTCAAAACTTGCTTCCCAATAAATGAAGCTCTTTCAAGAAAATTTCCAGTTCGATGTACCACTTGTGTACTGAAAATAAACCTTAACACTGCATAAGGGAGATGATATTTTTATAAAACACAATATTTCTCATTGAGCTGGTAAGCAGTAGTGTATATCTAGTGGGACTTGCTTCCTCCCTAACCCAAAACAACGCCGTTAAAGTCAGCTCATATTGATGTAAACCTGAAAGTTACTATTTCATTGGTGATCAAGAGACCGAGATTGTAAACACATATTGCTAACACATTAAAACAAAGAAACAAAAGTCTCTTCATCAAGTATTACACACAAACATCTTTACCTTTAAGAAGTTCTTCTGAGACAAAATAAATCTCTGAAAAGTGGGCCTAACTCTTTTAAAGATATTCTATGATAGCACTTTAAGTATACAGATGTATAACTTACCTATCTGTAAACAAAATTCACTTAATGATTTTAATTATAATAGTTCTCTGAATGAATAAAAAAATCTCTTGAGCATGTCCAGAAATCAAGTTTCTTTTAAAAAATTCAGTATACTGGATTTTTGTAATCTTAATATCCACCAAATCAAACAGCAGCATTCATACTTTAATCAGTATTATTATCTAAGAATAAATATTTCTTATGAGTGGCTTCCAATTACTAAACACCTTAGAAAAATGTTACTGATGCATTTGAGACAGCATTTAAGAAACTTGAAATCTCTTTCATTCATCCTCATTTCACCAATATAACATTTTTATTATACATCACAGAACAAAAATATGCTAAACAAAACCCACTGAGAGTCAAGATAACTAAAGTGTTTCCTCCCCCCATTATGACTGCCAGCTCCAATGTACTTATGAAGAGCTCAGATTCTTTCACAACAGAATAACATGGCATGTCCAAGTCTTCTGCAGTCAAATCAGAAAACCACTTACAGTTTTCACTTAAAATCAAAGTGACTTTGTTCTTCAAGTATAGAGAATACTGACAGATTTTAAAGCTTGAATATATTATTTCATATCCTTCTCAAGTTAGACTAGAGTTAGTTTACTCTAGTTTTAGTTAACATGATCCTTTTCCTTTTTTAAAATAAAGAAAAAAACAGGTATGGGTGATTAGATTCTAGTGTTTCTATATATGTACCTCTGAATTTTTTTTAAAAGGTCATTATCAATGGACTTGTTTACTTCCCTGCAACACTTAAGTCTTGTGAGGTTTAAAATGTAGCAGCCAAAATTTCAGGAACAAAATGAGAAATATACAACCGGAACACAGAAGTCTTTATTATACAAAATGTACTTTGCCTCTGTAATATTGTCTCATCTCATTCCAATTACAACAACTCAAACACAATTGGCAGCAAAGAGAAAAAGGTATCCAATCATATGTAGATATATTTTGATTTGAAAAATACAGTATTTCAAAGCTGCATGTTTGATTCTCTGCTGTGGTCCTTTATTTGCTATAGTTTGTTGAAATCACAGTGAGAATATCTAGTCATCACATTAATCCACAAACCTAATAGAAAAAGAAGGTACTATACATTCTCAGGTGTTCTGCATTGTGACTTTCCTTAGAAACAACTATGCCAGATATCTTCATTTGTTCATTTATTCACTTGTTGCTGTATATGCAAGAGGAATTCATAATAAGACAATGCAGACTCTGTTCTGTCTTCTACCATGTTTTGGAGGAAGCTTGCTTTCATTGGACTCTCATCCCTTAGGAACAAATGACAAAAATATTTACAAATATAAGAAAAAGATAACAGTAAAATAAAGTGGATTTGTCACAGGTTTTTGACACCAACAAACAACATTTAACATTATTAATAACTATTTTAGAGGCATTCCCTGAGATAGCTGTATCTCAGTAACTTCAGATCATATGGGGAACAAGTTTACAATGAAATTAAGAGAGGGTCTCCCTGGTGGCACAGGGATTAAAGTCAGCATTATGAAGCTATGTGCAGCCACTGCAGCACCAGTTCAATCTCTGGCCAGGGAGATGACCCACATGGCACGACAGGCCCCTCCTGTCTTACCACTGCTCCCCTCAGTAGTGTACTTAAGTCGATCTGTCTGTCTGCTCCCCACTCCATCTCTGATGACTCCTCTCATTCCCCCTTCATACCTCTGGCCTATACCTCAGTTCTTATATGCATAAATAAATAAATATTTAAAATGCTTTATATTAAAAAAAATGCTTTACACTGAACATTAGTAAAATGTTCTCTTAATTTCTTTTTTTTTTAAGATTTATTTATTTATGCATGCAAGAACTAGGGTTCAGGCCAGAGGTGGGGGTGGTAAGAGGATTCAACAAAGTGAGGAATGGAACATAATAGGCAGATTTCATGGTACAGTGGCTCCTTGTAGCTTCATAGTGCTGAGACGTAAGCCCTTCTGCCACCAGGGAGGCCCAGTTTAGTACTATTCATTGAAAATCATTTTTCTTTTCTATATTCTTCTAAAATGTTTGCTAAAGCAATAGGTCACATATCATAGCAGGTCCTTGGAATATTAAATAACTTGCTTCACTACTAGCAAATGAAAAATTCAACTTACCTTATCACATAAAGTATTGGGAAAAATGGTCTCTGCTCTCTAAGCCAAGAGATGAAAGCTATTATTCTGGCAGATTCCGGTGTATCAAGTTCTGGCAGGTCAGTCTATTAAACAAAAAGAGCAATATCTAGCTTGCTCTAATCGCATATCTATGTGTCATTTACAGTGCTCCTCAAACTTTATCATGTATATGAATCACTTGGGTTCTTGCTGAACTACAGTATTGATTTAGGAAATCTAGGGAGTTGTTGAGATTGTGCTCACCACATTTTTTTTAGTAATCGGTAGGCAAACTTCTTAAAGGGCCAGACAATAAATACCTCAGACTTGCAGATCATTTGGTCTCTATCAACGACTCATCTCTCCTGTTGTTCCACTAAAGTACCCACAGATAACACATAATTGAATAGACCTGGTAATGTCTCAAAAAAAAGTTCATTCTAAGTAAGGTAGCAGTGCCCCTTGAATAATTTGCTGAGCCCTGAGCCAGAATATCCTACCTCTTCTGTCCATGTAACTATGTAATATCAGAATTAACTGATTCATTAAAGCAGTTAATCACTTAAAATCCCCAGTTTAAGCAAACTCTGAAAACTAATGCTTAGTCTAACTATAAGTCTGAGGTGTCTTTTAAATGCATAAATCTCTTAATGACATCAATGAATGGAGTTAAGCTCATAATATATAAAATTGCGACAAAAAAATAAAACACAACTTCCACAATTGGTGACAAACAATAGTCATCAATTGTAGATGTAGTAGGACACTGAAAACTATGACTAAATAAAACCATGTTATACTTAATTTTAACTTTAAAATTCAAAATTATCCAAATGCTATAAATTTAACAAGTACTTCCATATGGATCATTGCGATTAGTTCTCCATTAGCAACACCACTCTTATTTTATAAATGATGCTGTTTGTGACTTAAGCAAGGAGACAGAGTTAGCGATAAAGTTATTATTAGTATCTTCAATATTTTCAATACTAACCCAAATGGCACTAGTCAAAAATCATTTGCTTATGTGGCAATTACCCTAACTCTTATTTCAAAGAAGCAGTTAAAGAGCCCTGTCAAAAAAATGAAAATAACTGACCCAAAGAACAAAAAGAAAAAAGTCATAACATTAATGCCAATTGCAGCAACCTACATTTTTTGCAATTAACTAAATTTGTTACTTTTCCCCTAAAATATATAGTGCCATAGACACATAAGCATAGATAAATCAATAACATAATAAAATTACCTAAAGTATGTACTTCACATAAAATAAAAAGATATTCTGTGGCTATATTTTATTTTTGAAAAAACTTCTAGTATTATGCTATGATTTCAAATGGGGAATTCATGTTTCTGCCATATCTGAAATGCTTTTTAAATGGACTGCAATCACTGTAGTAACAGTCTTACCATAGTCTGTGGGATTAATGCATAGTTTTGAACTCCTAGAACTTGGCTGAGAAAATTCTGTCCACAATTTTTTCCAACACACAGCATCAGCACCTAGAGACAGGAAGAAAATTATTTTGTGATGTATCGTAATATTAAGTTGTTGACTCAACTTTACCACTGAATATGTTTTCAAAGATCAAAACAATGAGTAAATTTAGTGAGACTACACATCCTTCAACTGAACTAATAATTACTATTTATCTTGATGAGACGTTTTATTCTAGGCATGAAAGAAGGTTATGGAGGGGGAAAGTGGTTAATACACTTACTATACAGTGCACATCATCTGCTGAGGAAGAGAACTATAAAGGGGAATGAAGGTTTGAGAGCAGATAAAGGGTAGCAGACTACTCACAGAGCCTGCATCCATGAGGAAAGCTCCATCCCTGCTCAGCTTTTCTACTGAAAGCTGAAGAATAGGTGGCTGAGGTATGGTACGATCATTGATGTTGAGCGCTCCCTAAAGAATTAAGCAAAGGGTAAAAACTTTTCAATACAGATAATACAGATCACAGTTAAACAAAAAGCCTTTCAATGAGTGTTTCAGGCATACTTAGGTAAATCACAAGTATTCATACTTGAGTATGAATAAGATGAAGAGGGGCCCCTCCCTGGTGGTGCAACAGGTTAGGAGGCAAAACTGCAAGCTAGCGCAGCTGCTTCTATGCAAGTTCAACCCCTAGCCCCGGAGGTGACCCACATGGCATGGCAGACCCCTCCTGACCCGCCCACTGTTTCCCACAGCACTGTATTTCATCAATCTGCCTGTTCTCCCTACTCTGTCTCTGGTGAAGCCTCTCACCACCCCTGCACCTCTGCCCTGTACCCCAGTTCTGTATGCATAAATAAATCAATATTTTTAAAAAATAAAATAAGATGAAGAAATGTTTGTCACTTATCTAAACAAAGACACTATGAATCCCAAAAAAGGCCAAATCAACTTCTGATTTTAACTATTTTTTTTAAAACCTAATGAAATAAAGGCAACCAACATCCATATTTCCCTCTCAGATAAATGGTAATAGTGAGATCCAAGTAAAGTTTTGAATTTACTTAATGTCTGCTCATAGCATGGCCTAGGTCATGTACACTTCCTGAAGAAGGAATAAAAAGCCTAATGCAAATCAGAGTTTAATAGCTCTCTCCACTTTGACATTTATTTACTAAAAGCCACAAATGGGGACTTTTCCTGGTGGCACAACGGGCTAAAGCATCGCATTATGAAGCTCTCCGAAGCCACTACAGCACGAGTTCGATCCCCAGCCAGGGAGCTGACCTGCATGGTGTGGCAGACCTCTCCTGTCTCACCCACTGCTCCCCTCAGTAGTGTATTTCAGTAGATCTGCCTATTCTCTTCCCCATCTGTCGCTGGTGAATCATCTCACCACTCCACACCTACCCCATATCTCTGGCCTCTATTCCAATTCATGTATGCATAAGTAAATCTTTAAAAATAAATAAATCGTACTATTCATTTGTGACCAAACCAAAGTACTTAAAACTATATACTGTATTAAATCATATCTAAAGTAAATAAAATACAGACCTTCTAAGAAGTACTGCCCCTCCAATGATGAGGTTTTGACTTTATCAAAGCAGACTAAGACCTCTGGTCTTGGGGCACATGGGGAGCAGGTGAGAGACTATAACCCACATAAAGCCAATAAAAAATTACTCCTGGAGGTTTTCTAATATGAACTTTAAGAAAAAAGAGCCTTAAAAAAAGAAAGAAAAGAGAACTTTGTCTTTGATGGTAAGAAAATAAAAGGGAAGCGGAAGCTACTTTCAAGTCTTAAAGATAAGGCTGATCTGGCCCTCCCTGGTGGCGCAGCGGGTTAAAGCACTGCACTGAGAAGCTAAAGCCACTTCCGCATGAGTTCGATTCCTGCCTGCCCCGGGAGGTGACCACATGGTGTGGCAGACCTCTCCTGACCCACCCGCTGCTCCCCTCAGCAGTGTACTTCGTCGATCTGCCTGTTCTGCTCCCCACTCTGTCTCTGGTGAAGCCTCTCACCGCCCCGAGCCTCTGGCCTGTACCCCAGTTCTGTATGCATAATAAATAAATCTTTAAAAAAAAAAAAAAAGATAAGGCTGATCTGAAAGAATGAGGCAAACAGGATAGTATTTGAATCTGAGCTAGACTTGAGTCTAATTCCAATCGTGGGTACCTGGGGACTATTCTTGGGTACCATCAGTCCTCTTTCCTTCCTAAGCTTACATGCAACCCAAAAAGTCCTGATAAACCTACCACTGATATTTAGCAGTACTTTATTTTTCTTTCTGGTGCTTTCCATAATATATAAAATATACAAAAATATATTACATTTGTATTTGTATGTTAAAATACTATTTTTAAAAACATTTGTTTCACTTATTTATTCATACCAGAAGTGGGGTATAAGACAGAGGTGCAGGGTGTGAGAGGATTCACTAGAGACAAGACTGGGGAGCAGAACAGGCAGATCTGTTGAAATACACTGCTGAGGGTAACAATGGGTGAGACATGAGAGATCTGCTTCGACATGTGGGTTAGCTCCTTGACCCAGGATAGAACTCAGGCTTCAGTGGCTGGCAATAGATTGATGATACTGAGACGTAACACTTGTGCCACCAGAAAGGCCCCAATACAACATTTTTTTAATATGAGAAAAAGGCAGGTCCAGTTAGATGAACTGATCAAAACTATGATTAATACTTTGTAAAATAAACACAAAAGTATTTTTGTATTTAGTATTGTGTTGAGAAAGACACATTACAAGTAAACATTTTCATGCTAGTAACTTCATCTCAGGTAAATTTTCTATCAGACAAAATATGACAACACTTAAATAGAAAAACCTAGATAAATATTATTTTTTTTAATCCAAGATATGCCAGATGGCAGAAAGCAGCATAATTATGACAGCAATAAAATTAACTGTCAAAATAAGTGTACTGGTTTTAGTTGCTGCTATTGTTGTCTATTTCTTCCCAAGAACATTGTTAAACTAACCACTGACCTGTGATGTTCAGATATAAGTTCACACTTTGGTCAGTTTTTTCATACCAATTTAGATAGATTAGTTACAGATTGCTCTGGTCAATTCAACATCTCTATATACTTAGATCACCTCTATAAATTTGTCTTAAGCAACTTAAATAAAGGTACTTGCCCAAACCAAAATTTGTTTACACAGGAATAGAAAATAAAGCTTCAAACAATCATATAATTGGGTTTCTAAATCTTCAAATGAAAGCCACTCTAAGACAAATCAAGCTATTACCTCATCTGAGAGATTGTCAACTCTGTACAAATTGGGGTGAGTTGTGAGCATAAGGTAAACCAAGGGCTGATTTTTCACTTGACACATAGCAAAAATGCGTTCATCTAGACGTGCATTTGTCCCCGTCTGGAATGATTTCTGTAAAAAAAGCAAACCCCCAGTGCAAGAAGAAAAAGGTATTTAACAAATACATAAAAGCATTATAAAAAGCAGTTAATGAATACCTTCAGACAACTAGCAAATTTATTATTAATTATTCTTTTAAAAATATTTAGGATTTCACACATGCACATTTTAAATTATAGCTATATACCCATCTATAAGTCTTGAGAATCTAATTACCTTAAAAACAGTAGTCATTTGATCTCCCTGACTAATGGTAGCTAATGGTCCTTGTTTCTCCCACAGTTAAAAAGCATTATACAATGAAACAATGCTTACTAATTAATCAGGAAAAATAATAGCACAATTGAGAGCAACTACTTAGTAGGAATAAAATTAGCTAGTATGTGAGTTTTAAATGGTATTTAAGTTTCATGGAGAATAAGCAGTTTTGAGGTAGGGTTTTAAGAGTTCCAACTGATAGCAGAAAGAGGCAGAATTACAACAGCAGTGAATTTATATGTTAAAATAAGCGACAACAATAAAGGAAAATTAAAAAAGGATCTTAAGATTTTTGAAACTGAAATGTGGGGCAGTCACTAAGTAAAAAAGAAAGAGTGCAATGAGTGATGGGAGAAGAGTTCTCATTTATTCATAAAAAAAATATTTACTGAATGTCCAATATGTACTAGGAGCTGTTCTAGATGGTGGGACCAAATAGTGAAGGAAAAGATAAAAGTCCTTGTTCTCACAGACAAAAGTCCTAATCAAGGAGAAATTGATCATGAATACAAAAAATATGTGGAGTACATCAGTGTTGTGTTAGTGATATGAAGAAAAACCAAAAGCCGGAAAAGATACAAAGAATGTCAGAGTGGGATAGGATGAGAGGGTGTACACAGGATGGGAAAACAGGGGTGGCAGGGCACAGTGAATTAACAGTGTTTGAAAAAGACCAAAGGAAAGGAAAGAGCTCAGATTTTTAAATGTTAAAATCTAAAACTTATGCAATCTCTGCATTTATACTACATTTAGAAGTTTAAATACAAATATGAATTTTTTAAAAAACTACAAGTAGATTCAAAACATAGCCGTATAACAGTATGGGGCTGCCTTACCCACGTCAAAGAGTCATTCATGAGATAGGTTAATCTTGGCTTTCAGAAAAGTATAGGAAAACTGACAAGATCTAATGCAATCCTTGATTAATTTTGGAATCTGGAATGTTCCCTCTCCTGAAAACTATTAACATGAGTATTCTAAAATAGCAAAGTACAATAGAGAGAGTTACACAGGTATGACAAGGCATATCTGGGTTTAAGTAGTAGAATATGCTGAAATGTTACAGGTAACATTTAGTAAAGAGTCTCCTGTGACTTCCTGCTCTAGCAATAAAATATACAATTCTTGTTTTGGAAACTGGAAAACTGATCATCATTTACATCTCTGACAGTATCCGTGAATATTTAGTGAGCAACTCCTCTGAACAAGGATTATGCCTTAGACCAACACTGTATAGCTTTCTTTGGTTATACTCAACATTCTAGTTAGATTAAGGTTTCTGTCCTCAGAAAACTGTCATAAATTTAAATACACACTGCTTAGGGATTCACAGAACTAAAATTTTCACAGTCACTGTGCTTAAGTTTCTGATTTTGATTCTCTTACCTGTTTAAGGAGAGCCAACACAAAGAGTGGGAAAAGCCGCAAAGAAAAAGGAACCATGAGTCCAGGCTGCTGGTTACTCAGGACGGAAGTACGAAAAGCTGAAAGAGAGTCTATGACAGCATTCACCAGGGCATCTCGAGCATCGCTCAAGCTGGCAGAGACAGACCTGTCAACAGCTAATGCAGGCAGGGGTATGGACAAGAGAAACAAAAAGGAAGTTTAGTTTCCCACCATTCTCAAGGATACAACTAGTTTTTTATTTATTTATTTATTTATTTTAGTTATACAAATCATCTAACTTATTACACACAAAATGAGTCAAATACAGTCAAAGCACAAACTCTATAGAATCAAATGAACATCTGTTAAAATGCAGCTCTGCTATTTTCTGGCTATATGACAATTTGGCATGTAATTGAACCACTCATGAGCCTCAGTTTCCTTATCTGTAAATGGGAAAACTACATTTTGACAATCTAAAACATTACTAATTATAAACCACTGAGAAAGAAAAATGATATAATGAAATACATATTTTTATTTTATATTTATTTGAAGGGCTGTTGAAGCTAAGTAGACAATTCTTCAAAGAAGACATACAGAAGGCCAACAGGCACATGAAAAAATGTTCATCATCACTTATCATCAAGGAAATGTAAATCAAAGCCATCAAAGCCACAGTGAGATAACCACTTGACACCAGAGAGAAAGGCCGGCATCTAAAAGACCAGAAACAGAAGTATTCATGAGAATGAAGAGAAAGTGGAAAGCTGTACGCTGTTGGTGGCAATGTACACTAGTCCAGCCTCGACAGAAACCAGTATGGAGTTTCTATAAAACACAAAAAATAGACCTACCCTAGAATTCAGCAATTTTTCTCTTAGATTAGCTACCAAAAAAATATAAAAACATCAGTTTAAATGGGCATGTGCACTTCTATGATTACTGCAGCAAAGTGACCTAAGTGCTCAACAACAGATGAGTCGATAAAGATGTAATATGTACACACAATAAAATCAAAAAAAGGTGAAATCTTGCAATTTGTAACCACATGCATAGAACTGGAGGGGTTTATGCTAAGCAAAATAAGTCAGAAGGATACAGTAAATACAACATGATATGACTCATACCTAGCACATAAACATAGCAAAGGAACAAACAAAACAAACCCTTGAAATCTGACTATAGAATGGAGACTTTAAGAAAGGAGGGTGGGGAGATGGGACAGAAGGGTGAATAGGGTCCAATGGATGATGGTGGAGGATTATTGGGCTTTGATGTGGGTGTAGCAAAATACATTCATGAGGTGTGAATCTGTACCCTTAAAATACAGTGTTGTAAACCAACAATATCTCAATAAACATTAAAAAAGAGAGAGATCTTGTAGAGAGCTATTTAGACAGTATTCAAGATCTGTCATACTACTCTGTTTAAATACATTTCTGCATACTTATATGTTTTTTCAATACTAAAAAACACTGTGGCTGTTTTGAAGGTTTTTTTCAAATTGCAACTAAACTTAATCCAGGTGGAATCACAATCACACTCAGAAGATGTGCTATAATACTTCTATTAACTGTTGTGACCAATTTTCACATGAGCAAGAAAGACTACTATCACTTGATCAAAAATAAAACTCTTTAAGACTATCAGTTGAAGACAGCTCATTTTTTTTTAAGATTTATTTTTTTATGCATACAGAACTGGGGTAAAGGTCAGCGGTGCAGGGGTTGAGAAAATTCACCAGAGACAGAGTGGAGAGTAAAACAGGTAGATGGACTGAAATACAATGCTATAGGGAGCAGAAGGTGGGTCAGGAGAGTTCTGCAGTGCCATGTAGGTCACCACCCTGGCTGGGGATCAAACTCATGCTGCAGTGGTTGCAATAACTTCATAGTGTTGTGCTTTAACCTGCTACACCACCAGGGAGGGCCCAAAGACAGCTGATGTTAAAGATTCTCATAGGATATGAAAAAAATGTGCATACTTGGATCAACCAAATTTATTCACAGAACTAATAGTTGTTGTCAAGCAAGTTGATGTGAATATTTCTTTTTAAATATAAAATACTGCCTTATACATAGCTGTTGATAATAATGAAAAAAAAAAACTATTACTATTTTCTTAGGTTACAGCCTTTAATTTTAACATTAAGACCAAGGTAGAATTCCTTTACCAGGCGGCTAAACTGCAGAAAAATTTCCCCAACAAAAGATTCAAGAAAATGGGTAATTATCCCTAGTACAGTTAGATTTGAGTCAGAAGCAAATGGAATCACTAGTAGTAGTCTTTCCTAAAGGACAGGGAATAAGAAACAAATGATGTTAAAATCTATGTGTTTTAAAATGAAACTAGATCACTACCTCACACCATACACAAAAATCAACTCAAAGTGGATTAAAGACCTAGACATAAGAACAGAAACCATTAAATACCTGGAAGCAAAGATGGGCCAAACACTACACGACACACACTTCAGCGACATCTTTGAAGATAAGAGCACCCAATGCAACAGTAGTGAAGGCAAGGATACATAGATGGGACTACATCAAATTAAAGAGCTTTTGTACAGCAAAAGAGACATTACAAAAACCAACAGACATCCCACTGATTGGGAAAAAATTTTCTCATACAAAACTAGAGATAAAGGATTGATCACAAAAATATACATAGAACTGATGAAACTCAACAAAAATAAACAACCCCATCAAAAAATGGGCAGAAGAGTTAAAAAGACACTTCTCCAAAGAGGAAATGCAGATGGCCAACAAGCATATGAAAAAATGTTCAGCATCACTTGTAATAAGGGAGATGCAAATTAAAACCACAATGAGATACCAACTCACCCCAATGAGAATAGCACATCTTAAAACAACCAGCAACAACAAATGTTGACAAGAAAAAGGAACTCTCCTGCATTGCTGGTGGGAATGCAAATTAGAACAACCACTATGGAAAACTGTTTGGAGGTTCCTCAAACTGGAGCTTCCATCAACCCAGCAATCCCATTCCTAAGTATCTACCCAAAAGATACAAAAGCACTGATTCAAAAAGATACCTACACCCCCATGTTTATTGCTGCCTTGTTTACAATTGGAAAGACATGGAAACAGCCCAAATGCCTAAAAGTAGATGACTGGATTAAAAAGATGTGGTACATATACACAATGGAATATTACCCAGAACCAAAAATAATAAACACATGCCTTTTGCAGCAACTTGGATGGAGCTGGAAAAGATCATGCTTAGTGAAATAAGCCAGAAAGAAAAGGAAAAATACTGGATGGTTTCACTCATAGCAGGAGTATAACGGACCAGGCAAGAAAATAATAATAATAATATTGAACAGCCATATACCAGAGACATTTTATGGGGATCGAGTGGGGAATAGGATCAAAAACAGGGAAATGCACTGGACTATGGTGATGGCACATGGGTGATTTGGTGATGGGAAGCCCAAGGGGATAACAACTGAGATGAAAAAATGCACAAAATGATGTAAAAATAAACTATTATATTATTTTTTAAAAAAAAAACTATGTATTTTAAAAGCAAGTAAATGTACAACAATAACCAAAAAACCCAAGAAGGCAACTATATCTGAGATAGAATTAAAGAGGACGATAGCACTAAAATTTCTGTCACTCATATGATCTAGCTAACACTGCAAATTTACATGTGTTGTAGTAAACTTAATTTTTATTACAAATTCCATGACTTCAAGTCTAATGATCTTTATAAATATCACTCTGTAATGCAAGTTACAGGTCATAAAAAGCTACTAACCACTAATACTAAACATCAAGTAAAATATGCTTACTTAAGTCCAAAGTAGGCAAATTATAAGACAGAATGCAGTCTGTGATTACCTAGGCCAGGGAAGGAAGAAAGAGGGAGCGAACAGTAACTGCCCAATAAGCACAAGGCTTTTGGGGGGGTGATAAAAATGTTTAAAATTAGCTTGTAATTGCTCACAACTCTGTGAATACACTAAAAGAATGAAATGGTAGGTATAAAATGAGTTGAATCCTATGGCATATTAATTTTATCTCAGTAAATATATTAATTTTTTTAAAAAGATAAGGCTATTTGCAACAGATCCTTTCATTTAAACAATTATGTTGCAAAAATAGAGTACCCCAAACATTGAAATCCTTAAAACTAATTGTTTAAAGGAAAACAAAACAATACTGCTTTGTTTATTGTTATTATTTATAAAATATTTATAGTAGAGGTTAACAATTCTTACCCATATTGGCCAATAACCCAGAAATTGCTTGAACATCAGCTCCAAGAAACACTTCATTCAAAGTTGAAACTACTGGCAAACACAAAGTGTGAACACGAATTCTTCTTTCACCTTTGGGAAAATATACGAACAACAATAAGGGACAATTACATATAAAAATGTTTCCATTAAAGTCATTTAGAAAAATAACATTTGTTCAGTTGAACAAAATAGAATTATATAGTGTAAGCACAGATGTATCTAAACTTAGTGGATGAAAACCTGTTTTCTTTCTTTTATTTTCTTACAACAAAAATTCTCTTTGTTCAGGGCCCTTCCTAGTGGCACAACAGGTTAAAGTGCAGCAAAGTGCAGCACTATGAAGCTGCCTGCAGTCACTGTAGCACAAGCTCAATCCCCAGCCAGGGAACCAATCTACATGGCATGGCAGACCTCTCCTATCCCACTCACTGCTCCCCTCAGTAGTGTATTTCAGTTAATCTGCCAGTTCTGCTCCACACTTTGTCTCTGGTGAATCCTCTCGCCCCTGACCTATGCCCCAGTTCTTGTATATATAAATAAAATTTTTAAAAAATAAAAAACAAATAAATAAAATTGACATATGACATACACCCTAAAACCTCTATGGCAACATGAAAGATAGAGAAAACGTATACATGAAGAGCTCCTATAAATTATTTTTAAACAGGAAATAAGACCTGCAAAAGCATAGAAATACTTTTTAGAACTTCTATTTTTAAAAAAACTGATAATTGCTGCTCCCCTCAGCAGTGTATTTCAGTAGACCCGCCTGTCATTCTACCTGCTCTGTTATCTGGTGAATCTCACACCCTGTACCTCTGGCCTATAACAGTTATACTACACAAAAATAAAGAATAAAAAAATTTTAAAGAAATATCAGCACTTAACACAAAGTGAATCTTAATAAATATCTAAAAAATAAAACGGTAAAGAAAAATACCAAAATATCTTGAAGGAATAGTAATAAAATCAGGAATACACTTATTGCTTAGTAGAAATTAATAAATTCCTGCAAAGAAGAAGAAATTTATGACAATCCATAGAATACATGACAATAAAATACTTAACCTTTGCTACAACACTGAGCTTATAATTAAAAATACAGTATCAAACACAATAAAAAAACAGTTTACCTTTGCTAGATGTATATAAGAGTGCTGATTGAAAGGAAACCAACTGAGTGTCAGTAAGACTCTCTTCCACTGACATCTGCACTGCATACCCAGCGTCTGGGTTTACGTTGGGTAAGGACAATAAGTCCGTTGAGCGAACAAAGAAATTCCCATGGAAAGTATGTATTGAAAGACCTAGAGAAGAAAAAGTTATGAAAATGACCTGTATATACATATATACAAATATTTACAGTGTTACTCAGCAGATAGAGAGAATAATTTGAGAACTGTAGATATGATATTGTAATTTATAGTAAGATTTTTTTTTTCTCCTTTTTTCTGGCATAGAGCTCCCAAAACCATTGGCGTTCCCTAAGAGAAAGATAAGGTGGCTTTTGAAAAGCATGTAGAAAACCTAAGGATGGAAGCTGGTGGCCAGGGGACTAAATCCCATGATTAGAGGGTTGGAGCATTCAGTCCTACCCATCACTCATCCTCACCTCACCTCTAAAGAGCAGCAAGGGGCTGATGGTTGAATTGCCAACGACCAATTATTTAATCAGTCATGACTGTCCTGAAGCTTTTAACTGGCCTATATATAAGAGAAATGAAAATATCTAAAAGCCTCTACATAAATGTTTTAGCAGTATTATTCATAATACAAAAAGAAGTTTCACCAACTGATGAATGCATAAACAAAATGAGGTAACTGAACAATAAAGATGAGTCAAATATTTTTTAAAAAGGAAAGGAATACTAACACACTACAAGACAGGTCAACCTTGACAACATTATGCTAATAACATCAATCACAAAGGACCTCATACTGTGTTGCTTCAGTAATGTGAAATGTACAGGCTAGGCAGATCCATAGAGGTAGAATGGCATTGCCTAGAGTCGGGGGCAAAATGAGAAGTGACTATTAATTGTTCATTTTTGGAGTTATGAAATGTTATGAAACTGAAAGGTCATAAAGGATTAAAGCACAGAACTATGAAGCTGTCAGCAGCCACTGTTCAATCCCCAGCCAGGAAGGTGGCTCACATGACACAGTAGACCTCCCCTATCTCACTCTCTGCTCCCCTCAGCAGTGTATTTCAGTACATCTGTCTGTTCTACTTCCCACTATGTCTCTGGTAAATTCTCTCACTCCTCCACCTCTGGCCTGTACCCTACTTCTTTCATGCATAAACAAATAAATCTTTAAAAAACTGATTGGCAATAACATGATGAATATACTCATAAGTCACTAAATAATGAATTTCTACTGAGTAAATTATATGGTATACAAATTTTATCTCAAAATAGCTGTTATTAAAGTTAAAAAGATAACAAAACAATGTTTTTGTACTAAATGGTGTTAGATGATGCTAAACACCTGTGACTTGTTTGCAGATCTAACAACCTCTTGAAAGTGTTTATCGTGAACAGTATTGTATTATACACTTAAAAATCTGCTAAGAGGGAAGACCTCAAAAATTTTTAAAAAAATGCCTTTTCTTATGTAAGAGAGTGTATGTCTTCTTTTCAGTTGCTTCATCAACCCTTTTTTCTTTTCATCATAATGATAAATAACAGAGAACATCATCTGGCACATGGTTTGACCAAAAGGTTCCAATATCTATTTATTGGACAAGATCCTTATCTTGACATATCTGTTCTTTCCTACATTATTTCATAAAGTTTTCCAATTTAAAAAATTGCTTCACACCCTCATAAAGCAGTATTTTAAAAATCTGAAAAAAAGAATAGTATGAAACTGATAAAGTAGATAAAAGAAATATCAAGAATTATAATTTCTCAGTATCCCAAGAGCATAGTTCATCACTTAGGTACCACAAAATATTTCTTTGAAAAACAGATTGGATTTAATCACTCTGAAACTCTTAAGACTTTTTTCTAAACCAAACTATATTAAGGTGTTAGTATCAAGTACATAGTGAGAAGGATAAGAAAAGATCTACTTCTGCAGATGGGTGGCTGTGAAAGTTGACAACAATGGAATGTACTTAATGGCTCTCAACTGTATACTTTAAAATGATTAAAATGGTAAATTTTATGTTAGCTGTATTTTACCATAATTTAAAAAAATAATTGTTTCCAAAAGTATTCTATTATTACTGCTAAATAAGTGTAATAAAAATCTATAAGCATTGTGGCTTTATATCTTTGGAGATGCAACTTTTTTTCACAGAGATACAGCTCACATACCATAAAAATCACTCTTTTCAGGGTACAATTCAGTGGCTTTCACACACACACAACTGCACTTAATTTTTTATAGATTACGTTTCTTCTTTATTCCTAATTGTATATTCAACCACAGTAAGCAAAATATCTTAGGAGACAAGTCTTAGAGGCAATACAATTTACAATACTAGGTAAAAAAGGCACTATTTAATTCCACAGCTACTTGTCTACCACTGTTATTATGGTAGCAATTGTGGCATTCCTCTGTAGAGACTGTTACATGATTGAACACCTCTGTTTTAGCAAAGCAGAAAGTAGGCATATCTGTGACATACAAGACGTAGTCCATAGTTTTGTTTGGCAAAGGAGATGATGATCTATTACAAAATAAATGTTTTTGTTAAATCTTTTGGGGCCGAGAGTAGAAAATAAAATTCAGTATTTGCGTAATGCTAAAAAAGAAAAAAAAGCATTATTTACTGGTATTAAAACAACATTTACTCCTATATAAATAGCGAGGAAAAAGTTCTCCTACCTTTGGTGCACCGAATCCTCATGACAGCCTCAAAGCCAATCTTACGAGTAAGATATCTCTGTAGTTCCTTATGTAATTTCTGTACTTGGACTGGGTTGTGCTGATGATGGTAAGAAGGATAGTAATAGACACTACCTGCTGAATACCGAGAAATACAACCTGAAAAAGAACATATACTCCCTTTAAGTTCTGCCATCTGCTAAGTCTACACCAAAGTAACTACAGGCAGTTGAAGCAATTTTTATATAACCTCCCTAAGTATTGTCAAAAACTAGTATTTCATTTCTGTAAGCAACAATATGAAGACTTCTGTTATACATGCTTTGAACAGAAGAACATCAGATTTATAATAGACTAATTGACTGAGACAACAAAGAAATAAATAATAAAATGTCACATTGTCTTTCACTTAAAATACCATCATATAAATACCATTTTGGCATTCACTTGAAAAACAGAATCAGTAGAAAGAACTTACCCAGAGATGCTAAATCAGAATATTGTCCACTGAGAAGGAATAAGTCAACAGCTACCTGCTGACCCGAACAGTCCAAGGCTAATTTCTTATAGAAGTCAGTGGATGGTGTCAAGTGAATTTCCTATTAATAAGTCACAAGGAGAAAACTTTAAAATTCATTAAATTGTCACACAATTTAACCAGACCTAACTATAGCTATATCTACATACCTATGGCTATATCAAGTTGTTAACAACTATCCTTGGGCATTCTATAAAATCCTTAAGCTTTATAGTGTTTTCTGGATTTTAGCAAGAAACATCCAGGTCTTTTATGTCAAAAACAAAACAAAACAAAACAAAACAAAACTGCAAGGTAATATACAATATTAAGAAAAAAAGAAAAATAAGGTTAAGGGTGGATTGGCTAAAAATAATAAAGTGGAGGGCCCTCACTGGTGGTGCAGCGGGTTAAAGTACAGCACTGAGAAGCTAAAGCCACTTCCACATGAATTCAATTCCCACCTGCCCCGGAGGTGACCACATGGTGTGGCAAACCTCTCCTGACACGCCTGCTTCTCCCCTCAGCAGTGTACTTCGTAGATCTACCTGTCCTGCTCCCCACTCTGTCTCTGGTGAAGCCTCTCGCCGCCCTGAGCCTCTGGCCTGTACCCCAGTTCTGTATTTACAAATAAATAAATCTTAAAAAATAATAATAATAATAATAATAATAATAATAATAATAATAATAATAATAATAAAGTAGAAATGTCTACATAACGTAAAAATGTTTCATCCATCTTCTTAAATTCCCTCCTCTCCACAGCTTGAAAATAAATTTAAAAAACAAGCTCTGTGATCAAAGGCACAGAACACTAACAAAAATCTTAATAGTTGATGACTCTCTAACCTTAGCAGATGACCTCTGGTTGGGTTCCTCTCGTGGTTTCAGGGCTCCTACTCCAAGAGTTGGAAGCTGTGTTTGAAAAACAGTCATTCGACCACCAGTTGGGGACATCAGCTTAAAGGCAGCCTGAAGTGCAGGACCCAAGGCACTCTGGGTCTCCAGGGTCTTGGTGAACATTTGCGGCAATGTTTTCAGTAAATCTTGGACAAGCTTGTGAAATAAAGCAAGAAAACTCAAGAGTGTTACAATTAATTTTTTTCCATAAGAGGTCAGTAACTAATACAATAGACAAGACACTGAGTCATGATGATGGTCAGAGGATCTACAGACAGTACATGAAACAATGAAGTTGGTCAAATAACAAGAAAGCTATTTTAAATCAACATTATAAATTGGCAAGCAAGACAAATCAAAATTGGGGCCTTACAGTTCTTGCACATGCAATAGTCCAGCAAGACTATAAGTCCAAAATGTATCTAAAAGAACCAGTACAGTATAGAGATTTGATTTATTTTAATGCCATGGAATATATGGCCTTCTCAATCACCTCCACACACTTTATTCTTTTCAGTTCCAAAGGCTTTCCCTATTGCAAAATCTAAGATACTAGTAAATTTGCCAACTAATTAATATCACTATAAAAGAAAAATAAAACGTAAAACAACTACCTATTCGGGTTAGGTTTTACAAATAGAGTTAATGGGAGAAAATACTTCACACTATGGCGAAGTCACCATTGCCAACAGCTGAGACCATAGACTTGCTAGTTAAAATGTTACCCCTACGGCATATATGCATGTACAGGGTAGACAACATCCCCCCTCAGACACATTCTGTTCACCTCTCACTGTATTATGTCATGGCAATTTCCAGGCAGGTAATAAGAGTTTCTTCTGAACTGACCCCAATGATACTCTGTGAATCAGAAAAGCAAAGGGCACTGAAAGCAGCCTCGCTAAAGTGCTTCTATGTAGTGACCAGAAGCTTATCTCAGCAACCCTCCCAGTTTCCCAAGTGGCTGGCAAGGCAGGTTTCTTTCACACTTTCCTCCTTTATGGAACAGGATTATCTTCTACCCTCCTACATATAACTTGCTACATTAGACTTATAAACAATCAATTCAAGACCAAACTCAAGAGCTGTTCATCTGATGAATTTTAACAGCAAATATAAAATGCTATGCAATCTAGAATGCCACATAAAGAAGCAAATTTTTACTTAAAAGTTAATTTCAAAAATACATTCTTTTAGTATTTCTACAAAATAAATCAGATAAGGAAATGTGCCTTACCTCTTTACTTTCATTTAAATTTACTAGTAAGTTCTCTGGCATAGGTATAAAAACATCTGAAAGAATAAAAAATATTTCTTTTAAGAAAAACTTGTTTTAAAAGCTCAAAATACAATGATGTAATTACCATCTCACATGTAAAGAAAAGTCACCTCCTCCACTATTTTAGTACCATCTCCCTATGTTCAAAGAGTCACCAAAGGAACATTAATTTCAGTTATTTATTGCAACTAATCTCTTACCATGTAAAAAATAAATAGCCTCCCAATTAGAAAATACTGATCTCCAATTACTCAGTAAGCATTTGTGCAATTGTTCTGCTTCTTAGTTTAAAGAAAACAATTTAAAATCCTACTTTACCTTGATTATCAGTCAAAAAGACACGTAGCATTAAAAAATTGTTAGGACAAGAGAATACTATATACAGAAGTAATGCAACTCAGCAACAGCTCTGTCATTCAAAAAGCTGATACTTTCTTATAAAGAGGTCCCTAACTGACCACAAATCAGCACATCAGATGAGCTTCTCAGTATTTGAATTTACTCATGTTTAACAATTATATTCCCTCCTTAGAATGAAGCAAACTAGGAAGGAAATGTGAGTGTTAATAGAGAATTATGATGGTTCTCACTTCTATATTTTTGTACAATATCTTTTTTATTATAAAAAATAAGACTCACAAAAATGTAAAATAAACTGTTATAAAATAAAAAAAAGACTCACTATATTGCAAAAAATACCAACAAGTAATTTTAAGCATTAAATATTTACTTTAGCTACTATATAAAAATTCTATTATATATTAAAATTTTCCCTTAAAATAAAAATTAGGATGTATTAAAATATAATTCACATACCATAATTAATCCTTATAAAGACTGTATAATTTATTAATTTTCCTATATTCATAGAATTATATACTCATCACTATATAGTCCCAGAATCTTATCACCCAAAAAGAAAATCCATGTCTTACTCCTCATTTCTCTGCCAACTTCTACAGCTCTAGGCATCCACTAGTCTTTCTGGCTCTAGAATTGAGTATTCTGGACATTTCATAACTAGAGTCACACTATCTGTGATGCATTCTTACACTTGGCATGTTGTAGTATCATCAGTACTTCTTTTTTATTGCCAAATAACATTTCATTACACAGATACACTAAATTTCATTTAACCATTAATCAGGCGATGTGCACTTGTGTTGTTTCCAGTTTTTGGTTATGTTGCTATGAATATTAATATGCTAATTGGAGGACAGACCTTTAATTTTCATGAGTATATACCTACTGAGTGGAACTGCTAGGTCTGTAGGAACACCATATTTAACTTCTTGGCTAGGCTGTTTTTCTACTGTGGTTGGGCCATTTTCCATTCCCACTAGCAGAGCATGAGGATTCTACTTTCTCAACATCCTTGCAAATACTTGTCATTGCTTTTTTGTGGTGGTTGTTGTTTGCCATCTAGCAAAGGGCTAGTCCATCTGTTGGCTTTCATGTAAAATTGAGAGGCTGAACCACATCAGTGAATTTACATCTTGGTCCAGTATCAGAACTGCCTGTTGAGTGATTTTTCTTTTATGCCAAGTAAGTATCTAGAAATAGATTTGAGGACCGATGACTAACATGGCTAATTGGTTGTAAGATTTCAAACAATCAAAAGGGGACTCTTCTCAACTTCTGTCATTTAAATATGTACAGTCAATCCTTATTATTTGTGAATTCCGTATTTACAAATGTGCTTCTTAATTAAAATTTATTTTTTTAAAGATTTATTTATGCATATAAGAACTGGGGTACAGGTCAGAGGGGTGAGAGAATTCACCAGAGACAGAGTGGAGAACAGAACAGGTAGATCTACTGAAATACACTAAAAAGGGGAGCAGTGGATGAGACAGGAGAGGTCTGATGCAAAATGTGGGTCAGAATCCTGGCTGGGGATCAAATTTGTGTTTCAGTGGCTGCCCACAGCTTTATAGCACTGCGCTTTAAACCGTTGCATCACCAGGGAGGGCCCACTAAAATTTATTGGTAACCCTGCAATCAACAGATAATGTTTTTTTGTGTGTGGTCATTGACTGACATACAGAATGGCAAACTATTTCAGTTTTGAATCTGAGAATTCTTAAATTGGTATAAGGTGGCATTTTATCATGGTTTTCATTTAAGTTTCCCCAATAACTCATGATATGGATCATCTTTTCATGTGTTTTCAGTCAATTGTATATAAAAAAAATGAACATATGTACTGAATAAAGTCAAAACTATTCAAATTCTCTGCCCGGTTTTAAATTAGGTTGTTTTTATTATAAGCTGTATAGTTTCTTATATAGCCTATATAAAAGTCCTTTGTCAGATTCATTTTACAAATATTTTCTCCCATTTTTGTGTGCTGTCTATCACTTTCTTAATGGTATTCTCTTGCAACCAAGTCCAAATAGTTAAATTGCATTCATACCTTAAAGAGCACCAAAGAATAAAAATTTATCTTTCTCTTTGAGGCTTGTGCTTAAAGATATAGTAACAGAAACAACCTTGAGTTAATATCCAAGGTGGCTGGGAACTGAGCCCACAAAGAAGGAGCTACTCTGAAGAAAGACCTTCAAAAAACTGAATCCTGGAACTGGACTCCCATTATAAACAAAGTACATTTTAAATTGGTTTGAATGGATGCAAACTCAGTTCACTGTTCTCTGGACCTTGTCTTCCAAATTACTAAACTCCCCTTGTTTCCAAAAGTCTAAAGACATCACAACTTCCAAATAATCGTACTCAAGGGTATAAACAATTGGGTTTACCAACCTGTAACAACCATTCACATCTCAAACTAGCTAAGGAAGGATTCTGCTCCTGCATGGGCCCAAGTCCCCATCCTCATTCAGCAGGAAGTAGTTCAAGAAGATAGACCTTCCTGCCCATTACCCCTTAAAAAAGAGGAGCATGATATAGAGGCGGGATTTGTCACCAGCCTGGTAACTCAGTTTCCCTTACTGAATATTACCCCATAAAAGCCTCTACTTCTCCACAATTTGGGGAGGTGGCATTTGACACAGTGGTCTGACATCTCCTCAGGATGCTGGCTTCTAATTAAACCTGATATCCTCAAACTAACTTTTGTCTCACAAGTTTTGACTAATGAGCAGTAAAGCAGTCAGACCCAAACTCCTGTAATACCTGAAACAAAGGAGTTTTTAATGAAAATGGTTCAGTTTATCTATTTTTCCTTTTTTGTTTGAGCTCTTGGTAATATATATTTTTTAACCTGTACCTAATTGAAGGTCACAAATATTTAATTCTGTTTTCTCCTAGTAGTTTTTTAGTCTTACATGCAATTGAGATAATTCTATTACATTGTGGTAAAAATATACACAATAAAGTTAACAATATTTTTAAAGAGTACATGATTAAGAGTATGATGATTAAGTAATTCATAATATTGTATAACTTCCTCAAGTACATATTTTCAAAGCTTTCTGGTCATTCTATACAGAAATGCTGCAGCAATTAAATAATTCCTTACTCCATTTTCTTCTGTCCTTGGTAACCTGTATCTACTTTATAGCTATAACTTTGCCTGTTCTGAGTACCTCATATAAGTGGAGTTACACAATATTTTCCTTTTGTGTTTTCAATGTTCATCTATGTTGTAGCATATATCATAATTTCACTCTGGAGGATGAATAATATTCCACTGTATGAATGAACTACATAAGGTTCACTGGGTTGTTTGGATATTTGGATTGTTTGCACCGTTTGGCTATTGCGAAGAATGGTGCTATGAATATTGGGGTACAAATATTTCTCTCTTTTTTAAAAAAAGATTTATTTTACTTATTTATGCATATAAGAACTAAGGTTTATGCCAGAGGTGCAGGGGGGTGAGAGGATTCACCAGAGACTGAGTGGGAAGCAGAACAGACAAATTAATGAAGTAAACTGCTGAGGAGAGCAGCGAGAGAGACAGGTGAGAACTATCTGAGTCGTGTGGGTTAGTACCCTGGTTGGGAATCAAAATTATGCCATAGTTGCTGGCGATAGCTTGATACTGCTGAGATTTTAACCCTTGTTCTACCAGGGAGGCTACAAATATTTCTTTGACACCCTGATTTCAATTCTTTTAGGTTTATACTAAGAAGTATAATAGCTACATCATAATGATAATTCTGTGTTTAACATTTTTGAGGAACCGTCACACTATTTTTACTTCTCCTTAAGCAATCCATGACAGTTTCAATGTTTCCACCTCATTATCAATACATACTTTCCATTTTTTTTATAATAGCCACTCTAATGGCTATAAAGTAGTATCTCACATTAGTTTTGAATTTCATTTTTTAATGACCAATGATTTTAAGCATTTTTTCATGTGCTTATTGGAATTTTTATACTTTCTTTGGAGAAATGTCTATTCAAGTCCTTTGATATGAAAAGTTTTGAGTATTAGGTATGATCCTATGCCTCTGAATCACAGTATTGTAAGCCAATGTAACCTAAAAAAATTAAAAATACAAAATATTTTAAAGTAAAATTTTTAATGCTTATGAAATACTACTTATTTTGTTTTCTGATGTTTCTGCTTTTGTCCCATATCCATGAAATTATCAAATCCAAAGTCATGAAAATTTTTCTCCTATATCATCTTCTAAGAGTTTTATAGTTTTAGTGAATTAACTTTATTAAATGATTAAGGTAAGGATTTTTTGCATGCTCAGTTTTTTCGGAAGCATTTGGTGAAAATGTTCCCTTTTCTCCATTGAAACAAATTATCAAAACTCAATTGTGTGTGTGTACACATATATTCTAAGTATATATAGGGTGTATATAGGTTGTACACAGTTGTATACACACACACACACACACACACAGTCTACTGGCATATGTTCTCTCTTAAATATTTCTTGAACAAATGAATGAAAGAATAAGACGGAAAAAACAGACCTCCATGTAACCAAAGTTTTAACATTACCATATTTTTGCTGCCCTGTTTAGAATTCAATTAATTTCATATAACCCAGTTTCCTGTTCTATAAAATGAGGGATTAAACTGAAGGACTCCAATTCCAACAATCTTATGATTTTTTACCCAATATTTTCCTCAATATGGTACAACTATACCACACACTCTTAATTTATCAAATAGTCATGAAATAGTTCTGAAGCTAAAATTTCTGATGCAGCTTAATAATTTTAATTGTATAACATATACCTTCAATATCTGAAACTATTAGCATCTGGGGTTGAGAGAGACCTTCCTGAAGACTGTAGAAGTGGATTGTACTGTCAAATGTTATGAAGCCAATTTTTGTCCTAGTGTTGCCAGGAAGCCTAAAAACAAATTCAGAAGAGTTTCAAATTCAAACTCTACAAGTTCAGTAGAGTTGTCCAAATATATAAATATATATATATATATATATATACACATAAAATACCTGGTAAGAGTTACATAAAGGTTTACTTTTGTACTATGGAAGTTGTCTCAATATAAATGTTTAGCCCACCCGCTGTTTAATCATCATGAAAACACACCCCACTCAAAATGAAAAACTATGCATAAGCCCAACAACAAATTTCAGCAACTATATAGTAATTCAAAATTCATTATACTTATATAAAGTTACATGAATCACTTAGATAATGGGATATAAATATATAAAAAAGCAAATCTCTGGATTCTTTTTAATTTATTTTAAAAAACAACTTCAATCTTAGATAGTGACAACAGAAGAGTGGCTACCATAGGGAAAAGGAGTTGGAAGAGTGGCAGGCAAGTAAAATGCGTAAAGAGGGTCAATTTTATGATGGTAGGTAGAAACTGGACTTTTAGGAAACGATCATAGTATAGCACATAGAAATGTCACAATATAAAGTTGTATACCTGAAATTTATGCTATGTTACAAACCAAAATTATCTCAAAATGTCTATAATTACTGCATATATTTACTGCATATATTTTTAAATTTTGACAAAACCATATTTGTTACTGCATATATTTTTAAATTTTGACAAAACCATATTTGTTCATTTGAGTTCACTTGAGAAGAGCAGCAAAAGAATGTAAATATGTGGATCTATAGTTTCATTTGGGAAAGACAAGCTAGTTTATATTCTTGGTATTTATGCCTGGGTGAGTCAGTGGACTATCTCATCAACAGATAATGCCATACACAACCTACAATAGTTAAAATACAAAAACTGGCAGAACAAAGATGCTGCTTTCACCAAGGTGAAGGAGTTAAGTCTAATGAGATTCGGTCCTCCACATGTTTCCATATCATAGCATACTTCATTTTACTGAAAGGTTACATTAGCTTTTCTGAGTTATACTCAGTATTAAAGCACCATTTAAAGAACACTTATTTTAAGATAATTAAGAGCTATAACAACCAAATAAATGTGTGGATACTACTTGATTTCTTATTCCCAAAATCTACAGGGAAAAAGCCAAGAACAATATTATTATGGAATTACTGTGAATCTTGTTTTAGATGATCCTCATATTCTAGTTAGGCTTAAAAATAAGTCCATATATAGGAAATGTCATTTGTATTAAAATAGGCAAGGGGAAAAATGAGTGTGTGCATGTCTGTCTGTCTGTGTGGAGTTAAGTGAATGTTGAATAGCTCAGTTTGAAAAATGCTTAAGTTGAGGGATGGAAGCTAGAATTCATTATATTCTTTCTATTTACTATATGCTAGAAATTTCCCCATAATAAAAAGTCAAATCAATCTTTGTCAGAGTAAATGAGATGTAAAGTTAACAAAAGATTTAAGTGGACTTTGGAAAACATAATTACATTTTTTTTTTCTTGGAACTATTCATTCTGTATACACTGATAGTTTCAAATTTATGCTGAACACAGATACTTACAAATCCAGACTAGCTAACAAATTCTGGCAAACTGAATTCAAGTATCCAGTTTCAACTGCATTGTGAGACACATCAAATACAAAGAGGTACACTGGAGGTTGAGGTGGTCGTAACTAAGGAAAAAAGGGATCTTGTTCAATACATTTAACAGGATTAAATTTAAACTTATTTGTCAGGTCACATATAGCAAAACAATGTAATAAGCATTAATTACAGGTAAAGTGGAAAGAGCATAAATAATGATGGATAAAGAAAATAATATGGAAAGAAGTATAAAAATAAGCAAAAGTATTAAATTGTTTTAAGATGCATACCTAAAAAATAAAGTGCAATAAGGCAGCATATTTACTCTAGGATAGGAAAGGAAGGAAATATCATTAAAACAGGGTTTCTGGTAGTAACTCCAGTATTCCATTTCTTGACCTGGGTGGTGCTAACTGGTGTTTTTAATTATTTGGTAACCTCCACATTCATGCTTGATAGACTTTTCCATATTTGTATTATATTTCACAATTTAGGGAAATTACAGTTCTGAAAGTGACAAGTCACATTAGCATGAGCTAAACCAAGTTCCATAAAAAAATACAAATGTTTTTTAAACTTCCAATTTCAAAGATTTATTTTTAATTTTGGTGAAACATCAAACTATCAAATTATTATTCTATCATGTAGAAGAGTAAGTTTTACACTTTCTTTCATGTGTCACTTGCTAAATTGATAGAAGTTACCACCTAAGAAATAAATCAGGAAGCAGTAAAAGCTGGCCACAGAGAAGTTTCCAAATTTAAAAGAACACATTTGTGTAAAATTTTGGAGATAAAAGAAACCCACTGATATGGAAGAATGCACAAAATGATGTAAGAATAAACTATTATATTATTTAAGAAAGAAAAGAAACCCAGTAACTGTTTATTTGGCTTTAATTAACAAAGGTATAGCTATACTGCAGGAAGCTTCTACCAAATTTTAAGTGTCACAAAATATTTTCCATATTAAAACTACTGTTGTAAGAAGAGGTTGAATTCTTATAAGTTATGTTCTTAAATGGCTTCAATTGCCCACACTGAAAAAGATTACCCCACAAAAATATACTAAAAGGCTATTAAAAGTCATTGTTAATGCTAATCTTTACAGTTCCTTTCCACAGAAGCAATGACAGTTTGGTTGAATAGTGACTAAATCAAAAGACCAGATTTTTATGCAAACTCTACCACTTACTAAAGGCTATTTAGCAAGTCACCTAACCTAAATCTCATTTCCCATGTATAAAAGATGATTAACAGCATTTCCCTTGCTCACTTCAGAGAGGCTTTCTAAGTACATATAACACGGGCTTCATAAGACGAAAAGTGCCAGTTAAACATTAAACATATTATCATTTTTTAACTGCAAACCTTTACATATTCATACAAGTACGTAAAAAGAAGATGTTCATCACATATTATTTGTAATAGAAAAAAATGGGAAGTGACATCAAGGTAGCAATGACTCCAGTCTCTAATTATAAATATCTGGTTAGACACCACAATAAACATTAATTAGAACTTTACATACACTTTTCTTTTTCAAACTCACTCTTATATACTAATTAACTTTTATAATGGCCAACAAAACTTTTATAAAATTTAAAAATACAGTATTTTGTTAAAGGATGCTCTATCATTTTATTTAAAACCCAAATTATGAAATGAAACAAAAAACCAAAAACCTTACCATGTATTCTGAAGGAGCCATAAACTCAATGGTGGCATTTTGAACTTCAGGTCTTCTGTGAGGCTCTCCATAAACTCTGGTCAAAGGGTTATACATGAATTCTTCTGGAACTATTTAAGTTAAGAACATATAATGATAACACTGAAAGGATTCAGTTTAATTATCTTGAATGTGTCTGTTTTCTTAATTTAGGGAGTTATAAATAATTCTATCTAAATATTAAGGGCTAGATATACTTTGTTTTAGAGTTACATTCAAATTCCCCATTATTAAATGATACAAGGTATGATATGTCTTGCTTTTAAAACTACAATAATTGTGATTTTCTTTTCCTATCTCCTAGTAATCTGTTTGTCTTAATTCTTGCTCAAGATACTTCCCTAAAATAATTTGAAAGGACAATGAAAACTCATTAAATAGCAACTGTTTCCTTAAATGCAAGGCTACACTTGTCTTAAATTTCTCAGTGGAGGGCCCTCCCTTGGGGTGTTCAATTCCTAGTCAGGCAGGTGACCCACATCGTGTGGCAGACCTCTCCTGACTCACCCACTGCTCCCCTCATAGTGTAATTTGTCACCTGACCTATTCTGCCCCCCACTCTCTCTCTGGTGAATGCTCTCACCACTCCTGCACCTCTGACCTATACTCCAGTTCTGTATACATAGATAAATAAATCTTTTTTAAAAAAATTTTAATTTCTTAGTGGTACTAAAATATTAATATTTGACATATAAAACATATAGACTTTGCTGCCACTAGAAATTACAGCAGAAATAGTTTAAAGACATAAAGATTTGGTGAGTTTCATTAACTAATTAGTCCAATATAGAAAATCAGTTATCTACCATTTTAATACACCTAGTGCTCATGGTATATTTTATCATTTTATCTATATTCCCAGAACTGTTTGAAAATTCAAAATCCTACATCTGTTAAAGGGTAAGCCACAGTCCATGAAATGGTGTGGTCTGCTTTTATTACGATTTTATTTCATAATATTGAAACACATTTAACACAAAACTTTAAAAATGTACATGAACATAAAACATACATTTTCTGAATTACTATAATATTTTTGCCCTATTTTCATTTTCTTCTACTCTTAAAAAACACACAAACAATAAAAATGGTTTTAAAAACCTGTCACATTCCTTTCCTCCAAGTTCTAAGGAAATTTCCTTCCAAAGAAAGACCTAATTTTTTATAAGAATATTGCATACTTTTTGCTTCTCTAAGCCTAATAGGATGCTGTTGGTTATATGAGATTCCTCAGACATAAATGGTGAAACAGTTACTAAAAAAGATTTCCTTCCTCAATTACTGAGAAAACTACAGACAACTAACCTTCTAGCACTGCCCACCTCCCTTCATACAGCAGTGAGTGAAGCTAATGGCAGCTATTCTGTGGGCTTATTTTCTTTCACCCTAGAGAAAAGGCATGGGATAATTTCTGAATAAAAATATTTCTTAAATTACAGGCTTCAATAATACCATGAAATGTCATCTATTATATACTCAATATAATAAATGTTAAAATGTGGTAACAAAGTAATGCTATCACATTTTTCTTTTTTTCTTAAAAAGTATATGGTTACTAACCCAAATGCCCAAAAGTAGATGACTGGATTAAAAAGATATGATACAGGCCCTCCCTGGTGGCGCAGCGGGTTAAAGCATAGCACTGAGAATCTAAAGCCGTTTCAGCATGAGTTCGATCCCCGCCTGCCCCGGAGGTGACCACATGGCGTGACCCGCCCGCTGCTCCCCTCAGCAGTGTACTTCGTTGATCTGCCTGTTCTGTTTCCCACTCTATCTCTGGTGAAGCCTCTCACCACCCCTCAGCCTCTGGCCTGTACCCCAGTTCTGTATGAATAAATAAATAAATCTTTAAAAAAAAAAAAAGATATGATACATTTATACAATGGAATATTACTTAGCAATCAAAAAAAAAGAAACACATGCCTTTTGCAACAACATGGATGGAACTGGAAGGGATCATGCTTAGTGAAATAAGCCAGAAAGAAATGGGAAAATACCGGATGGTTTCACTCATAGCAAGAGTATAAAGGACCAGGTGAGAAAATAATAATAATGATGAACAACTATATACCAGAAACATTTTATGGGGGTGGAGTGGGGAATGGGATCAAAAACGGTGGGGGGAGGGAAGTGCACTGGACTATGGGGATGGCATAAAGGTGATGTGGTGATGCGAAGCCCACGGGGATTACAAAAAAGTATACGGTTACTTACATGTAAGTATAAAGGCATAAAATTGCTTAATAGAAGTTATTTCTAACTGGAAGAATTATCAGTAAATAAGAAATGGGTTTTATTCATATTATCTGATTTTCTTACAACACAAGGAGAAATTTTTAAATGTTTCAAAAATAAACATACCATCATTGACTCGATAACATAAGTTACACTTCCATCTTCTTTGATCGAGAAAGCTGACAAAAGGGTTGATGTATGTCCTACATGAACGGCATCTCACAATTGTACTGGATGTAACCACAGGCAGTTGCTGAAAACAAAAAGCTATTATTTTAAAGGCAGTGATCATTATGTACTAGGGCCCACAACTTACAAAATTATTGGGATATATAATTTTGAAGGAAAAAAACCTTGTGTGAAAATATGTATCCAAACTACCACACAAAAAAATTGTACAACTGAAATATAGTTATTTTAAATGCTACTGTTTTATTCTAGAACTGTTCTCATAACATTTTACCTTCTGAAAAGCATTTGTTTTCTCATTAAACATCTGTATTGGAAAACCAACACAGTAAATTTACAATACATTTTTTTTGATGGATGGCAAAGAGAGAATCAAACATTCTAAAATAAACAACCGATAAAGTATTGGGAAATTTCTTGATGTTATATTAAGAAGCCTAAGTTTTCATAGAAGAACACAGAAAATACAGTAAGGTTAAGTTATATTTAAATATTCAAACTTTTCATTTAAGCTCCTATTTAATATTTACCTTACATATTAAAAGTTCTAAAGTCATAAAAAATCAATAAGGTTAATAACGATCCTATCACTACATATTAAAAGTTCTAAAGTCTTATAAAAAAACAGTAAGGGCAATAACAGGTGTGTTTTTGGAAAGTAACTTTACTTCTGCACTGGTACTCTCAGGAGTATGTTGCTTTGTATCAAGAATGAGATAGAGCAGTAGGACAAAGGTCAAAGAACAGAGGGGATTAATCCGATAGTGGGACTGGCAATAGAACTTGAGTGATGAAGTAAGGCTTAGTCACAAAGTAAAGATGTACCCTTTTACATAGTATTGTAAATCTATACAAATTTTACTTTTTAAAAAAGGTGAAAAACTTTTTTAAAATAGATTCTCAAAGCAAAAGAAGTTATTCCAAAAACAGACAAACTGGAAGAATGGATAAAATGTTTGAATGAGTAAACAATTTACAACTTCTTAAAATAGTATGATTCATTTACTCACTACCTTTCAGTACTTCTATTGTATTCATTACCTCCTGGATTTTTCAACAATACACTTTCCTTACTTCATCTTAAAAGTATTTAGTAATAAAAAATTTTTATTAAATTATAAATTAGAAATTTTTCAATAATCAAATTCCTAGCAATTGCTCACACAAATTTTGTGATTCTTGAAATATTATAGAAGGTTTCTTACCACCAAGACACTTTTTCATAAAACATTTACTTTCACTAGTAAAAACATACCACTAGGTCTTTAAAAGGATGAAGCAGGAGTCCCAAAGGGAGTTTGGCTTTATTCAGTAAGGCCTGAGTCTGAGGAATATTAGTCAGCGTGCATCGAAACAGCCTATATCAAAGTAGAAATCATGTGTCAGTTGTAGCTATGATTACCTTTTACAACAGAAAGATTTAAAAATTTTAACATAGGATCTGTCTACAATTGAAAAATTGTAATATGTCACCTCAAAGTTTATTCATTTAAGTCTAAGTACTATTCAAGAAGACAGGGTAGAAACTTACAATTCTACTTTGCAGAAAAATTAAGTATCTTCACCTTGTGTTGAACAGTCTATCAAATGACTGTATTTTCTTTATATGACTCTACATTACACCAGAATTAGAAGGTGATAGAAATGAAAACTTTAAAACTGAAATGTTTAATTTTGTTGAACTTCTAGAGAGACTACTTAAAAGTAATAAAATTCAACTCATCAGGAAGTCTTTAATCCATATATTTTAAACTGTACTCAATTTTTAGAGGGAAATGATGTTTTGCAAGAAAAACGATTTAAAATGAGAGCAATTTAAAAGGTTATAGTTAATCAAATCCCTGTACTTTGGACCCTGAAGAAAGAATAAAGTCACCGTAATGACTACCATAATCCCAGTAAAAGTTGATAAGGGCAGCAATCAATTTAGAGATTACAGCCCTATTCCTTAGAACATTTCAAATTTCAATTAAATAACCAACTGAGTTCTACTGCCTACAAGGAGAAATACTCCCACATAAGTCCAGCATACTATGATAGTCCAGATACTATGATATATATATATAGAATGCTAGCTAGCCATAAGAAAGGAAAAAATACGGCCATTGGGAACAAAAATGGAGGGAATTTGAAATAAATTAGATACAACAAAGCAAGTCAGAATGATAAAACTACTGACAAATTGACAAAGCAAAACACTTTTAAAAACTACTGGAAATCAGCAAACATCATGAGGGCTCTGAGGTCCAGAGGGAGGTGTGAAAGAAATGGACAGGGATCAATAAGGGATGATGGAAGGGGGAAAAGAAAGAAAATACTTTTCAAAAATAAATTTGTACAGCTTGTTCATAACATACAAAGCTCAAAAAAATCTAGAAAACATTTAGAAAAAAATAGATTGACAGTTCACAGGAAATATTCTTTGAAACCTTACTCTGGATTACAGTTGAGTTTCTGAATATCTTCATGCAAATTTGGAACTGGAGGCTGCAAAGGTGTTGATGGAAGCATGTTTCTCTCTTGAAGAAGATTGGTAACTCTTAGACCCTCTGGATGTAGACTTAATCCACCCATGCTTGCAGTTAAATGATTAGCACCGAAGGGGGTCTAAAGATATATAATTTCAAAGTAAGGATCCTTTTTAATGTCTTCAGTTGAAAACAAACATGCATAAGAATTGGTTACTTAATTTTTGTCTAAATAACAAACTATAACCTAGACAACCTGGTCAACCTTTTGGTTCTGAGAAAAAATAAAAGCTTTATGAAACATCCATTATTGTTCTGATTAAAAATGTTCACTATAGGAGCCCTTCTTGCTGGTGCAATGGGTTAATATACAGCACTGCAAGTGAGCAGCAGTCGCCTCAGTGCAACTTCAATCCCCGGCCCTGGAGGTGACCCACATGGCGTGGCAGATCTCCCCTGAGTAGCCCGCTGCTCCCCTCAGCAGTCTATTTCACTAGATCTCCCTGTTCTGCTCCCCACCCTGTCTCTGGTGAAGCCTCTCACCACCTCTGCACCTCTGGCTTGTACCCAGTTCTGTATGCATAAATAAATAAATCTTTTTAAAAAATGTTCACTGTAAACTACATCTGAGGACTATAGCTAACACTGCTGTCTAACATACATGGAACAATAAATCCTAAGTGTTCTTATCACAAGAAGAAAACTCTTTCCTTTTTTCTTTCTTTTCTTTTGTCATCTGGTATGAGAAAATGGGTATTAGCTAAACTTATGGCAATCACTTTACAAACCAGCCATCAAACTGTAAGTCTTTAAATTTTAATGCATATGTTATAGTATGGTAATGTTTTATCAATAAAACAAGGGGAAAATTCATTATACCATCTTAAAACTTCATGTATATACAGCTAACCAGAAAGTACAAAACAAGTTAAAAAACATTTACCTGAGTAAAGGCCTGTGGTCCACTTGGGTAATTCAAGGAAGAGGGTGGTATTCCAGCTGTATTAGGTGGTGCTGTGTTCTGGTAACCAGGTGGTAAGGAAGGATATGAATACCCAACACTTCGGCTCATTGTGGGATTCTTGTTAGTAACCTGTGGTGTTGCTAGAAACAAGGTAACTTTTAAGTTCTACTTTATACTCCTCAATACTTCAAATCAACACACAGATCCATTAAATTGTAGGAGATATAATGCCTAATCCTTTGGATAGTTTATAGTTTTCAATTCTTTATCAATTCTTTAAAATAATGTAAATAATCACTAGCAACAAAGTCGTAACAATGGCTAAAAAGTAGTTCATATAGACTATAGATACAAACACACAGAAATAAATTTGGTACAATTCATTTACTCTCATAGTATACTAAATTTTGTGTTTAAGTTAAAATTCTAATAAAAAAGAACTATAATGCTCAAATAGTTAACTAAACTCAGATATAAATGATAAAAAATATTCCATACTCTGTACATACTAATAATAAAACTCATGATAATCCTAAAAGGAAAAAAACTTAAAAATCTAAATGTATGAAGATAAAAGACAGTAACAATAGGTATTGCTGTGTAACATGATTATGAGGTTTCCATCTTTGTTCCCTATAATGAACACATTCTTTTTAAATCTTTCATAGTATCTCACCCAAGAAGCCACCGCCTTCAATTTCATCATAGCTATTGTGAACTGCCATAGCTCCATTATTGGCATTTGATGTAATACCTAAGAAAGAAGTTTATTAACAATAATTAAATCAGAGCAATTATAACAATCTTTGCAACACTCAGGCTAATATCTAAAATTCAAAATAACTTTATTTTTTTAAGATTTATTTATTTATGCATACAAGAACTAGGGTACAGATCAGAGGTGTAGCCCAGACCTATGGGAGCTGAGAGGATTCACCAGAAACAAGAGTGAGGAACAAAACAGGCAAATTGACTGAAATACATGCAGAGAGGTATGGACAAGACAGGAGAGGTCTGCTGAATCACCTTCCTGGCTGAGGATAACTTCATAGTGCTGAGCTTTAACCTCTTGCACCACCAGGGAGAATCCCAAAACAACTTTTCAAACAATAGTTCAAATCACAGTTGGCAGGGCTGCCCTGCTAATACAAGGGGTTACGATACAACACTGTGATGCGATCCACAGCCACTGCAGCATGAGTTTGATCCCGCCCAGGGAACTAACCCACATGGCATGGCAGATTTCTCCTGTCTTGTCCCTCTGCTCCTCCAGCAGTATATTTAGTCAATTTGTCTGTTCTGCTCCCCACTGTTTCTGGGGAATCTTCTCATCTCATGCACCTCTGGCCTATACCCCAGCTTTTATATACATAAATAAATAAATCTTTAAAAACAAAAAACAGGCCCTCCCTGGTGGTGCAATGGGTTAGAACATAGCATTGCAAACTGGCCGCAACCGCTTAAGTGCAAGTTCGATCCCAGGCCCTGGGGGTGACCATATGGCATGCAGACCTTTCGTGACCTCCCACTGCTCCCCTCAGCAGGGTACTTCATCAATCTGCCTGTTCTGCTCCCCACTCTCTCTCTGGCAACACCTCTCACAGCCCTCTGCACCTCTGGCTTGAACCCCAGTTCTCTACGAATAAATAAATCTTAAAAAAATAAAAAAACACAGAAGAAAATGTCAAATGTTGAAATAAATATTTCAAATGTGTTGAAATATACAAACATATTTAAGGGGCTCTCCTGGGTGGGTCAGGATATTAAAACTTCTGTACTATGGGGCTGTCCACAGCCATTGATTGCAGCACACATTCAATCCCCCACCAGGGGTTGACCCACATGGCACAGCAGACCTCTCTTGTCTCACCAGCTGCTCCCCTCAGCAGTTTATTTCAGTAAATCTACCTGTTCTGTTCCCTACTTCTGTCTCTAGGGTATCCTCTCACACCCTGCACCTCTTGCCTTTATCTCATGTCTCGTATGCATAAATAAGTAAAACTTTTAAAAAATATTAAATAATGTCATAAACTTCTAAACAAGGATGGCCTCTTGTGAACTTAGTACAATTATATACAATCTGAAAGAATAAAGTAATTGTGAGAGTTGCATTCAAAACTTCTAAGAGACCTTAAGTAAACACTGTAAAAAAGTTTACCAAGATCAATATTACTTGAAAATTAAATTATAAAGGTAAAAACATTTTTGAAAAGTATGGAAAAGTAGAATCTAGGATTAATTTTAAGGTGAATAATGACCGCTTTCATCTAAACAATAACTAGTATTAAACAAAAATCACAACTTGTCTCAAATTTTAAAGAATTAAAGAAAAATGGCAGAGACATCTGCTTAATGAGGATAAATACTTATTTCTAGGTACCTCTATTATTTATAACTTTCTACTTTGTGTACACAAGAAACTAAATTTGATGAAAACCATCAACCCTTAGTATGAATGGTCTTAATAAAGCCTTCTTTCCAGTTTTCAAGATCACCATGGGTTTAGTCATAAACTGATACAAAATACCTTCATAAAGCTATTTAATAAACAAGCACACTGTGCAGGTTTTCAGTTCTTCAGCTTGTTAAAGCTTCAAATGCTTATTTCATGTTGACTTTCAGTTTTGTAATGTGACAACCAGTGGGGGACACTGCTTTATCATTTTGTTACTATTAATACTATTCAAACTACTCACAGGTTAGATTTTTCCTTATAATTTCCTTACCTTTAAAAAATGCTAAGACAAAGCACAAAAATGATTAATTTTGATTGTACTTAGTAGTAGGATATGAACAAGTTTTCTCCCCTCCTTTTCTGTTTCCCTATTTCCACATTTTGCTGCAATGGCTATACAACCGTCTAAATCAAATTTCTTATATTATAAAATATTTTGATTAAATGAATAAACATATTTTAAAGTCACTACTGAAGTTAATACTTTAAAACATTTTATTTTTTATATAAGTCCCCCAAAATGTTTATGTACTTGATATTTTATTTAGATTCATAAATGTCAATATTTATATTTAAAAAAAAAGTGGCAAACAAAATTTTGCTTTCATGGAAGAGCCAATTTAAAAAAAAAAAAATTTTAACATCATGTCCATCTACAGCAGGGTTCCCCTTCTTGGCTCTCTCCTCCAAAGACAACTAATTTTATAGCCATGACTTTAAAAATTTGCACAAAAAACAAAAAAAGTTACAAGTTAACAGCAGTGGTTCCCAAATGGTAGTCCACAGTCCTACACAGAACAGTAGAACCATGTGGAACTCCTTAAAACTCTAAATTCCTGAAGACTATCCCTAACCAAAACAACAGGAATTTCTGGAAAAACATGATTCAGATGTACAGAATTCAGAAATAATTTTGACTTGGTTTATACTATGCTTACCTTCTTGGTTGATAGGTGAATTAAATGAGGGTTGAGACACAGCTTTATGTGATGATTTCTGAGAGGTGAGAGGCCTCACTGGTGGGGGTCCTCCAGTTGGAGGGGGTGCAATAGGAGTTCCTGGTTGGAAAGTGGTAGGTGGAGGTGGAGTCACTAAAGGGGGTACAGAACCTATGGAAACAATGTTTTTTCACATTTCAGTTAAGAGCTTAAGACAAAGGCCCAAATATTCTTTTATTTTCCAGATTTACATTTTAATTGTAATCACCAATAAATTACCAGAAAAATGTTAACTTCTGACGTTTATTGTTTAATTTATATGCATACTTTGCACATTTCCAAGTCTCTCCTACCTACTATGCCTCTTGTCAACCATCAAAGCAATATAAAGGTGAAATGATTATAGATCATATATAGGATTGATAGACATCTTGTTTATTGATTAATTTTTTATAACTGGTCACAAAGGTTCAACAGGTCATGTCGATTATTTCAGCAAAATTAACATAAACAAAATTTGTAATGGCCTAGTAATGTAATTCATTCAAAAACACCAACTGAGTTTAGAGCTAGCTTTTTAAAACTACAAGGCATTGTTGTAACTCTAAATTCTCCAAGTATTCTGTCACCCTGCTTCATTTTTATTGGGAGTATATAACCTGTTAAAAATGAAATTATAAAGTTTAACATTGTTCAGTGTTTACCCAATAATAATTAAAAGTAATTTATTTTCAATAAATACTGTTAAGTATTTATTAATACTTATAATTAATATAGCATATAAATACCTATTAAGAATTCTTCCTAGGCTTAAAAATTAGGAAGTGATACAAAGTTCATGTCTATACCTTATAAAACATTAATATCCAAGAGGTTTAAAAGTATCTATTAAAATAAACTGAGAATGAAACTACATTTTTTTGCTCTAATTTCATTAATTTTCTGTTAGGTAAGTTTAGACTTAGGTAAAAAGTTATCAGTTACTCTTAGAGAAATTTTTCTGTATGATAGCAAAGTTTCAAAACCCAGTTGCTCATTAAAGTCAACAACTTTACTTCCACGAACTCATTTGCCAAAGAGGAAGAACAAAGTCTACAAAGCAATTAGAATACTATTGATAAATATGTAATCTAATTTTTCTTTCCAAGATGGTCTTCAAAAATCTTCTGAAATTGTTAGTATAATAGGTAGTAAATTTTAGGTATTCTATAGAGTTAACTATAGTAATATGTTTTTTTAACACTGCTCAATTCTCCAGAGCCAAACAGAAAAATAAACATATTACCAAATTGTTACAGCTACCAGCAGCAAGACTAATCAGTGTTCTGTTGACAAAAGTGAAGACAGGTCTAAGGAAGAAGGAAGCAGGGTGGAAAGCCAGAGAAAGACCTGAGGGAGGCACATGGAGCAGAGAGAATGTGGAGAAACCGTGCTTGCTTCTTGGCCCTGGACTGGTTGAAACAGATAAATGAGCTGAAATGCAGACTGCCAAGACACTGCTCCCCAAACAGAATGAAACCCTCTTTTCAGCACCAGCTGAACCCTCTTTTCATGCCTCTGCATGAAGCCAGGAGACCCATCCCTGCAAATACTTTCACCATTGGTTTGGAAATTGTGCCACTGTGCCAGAGTAGAATGTTTTTATTCACGTGTTCAGTACAAAAGGCTCTCCTGTTCTGAAATGGAATAAATTTCAGAGTATAATTGCTTTTGAAGAGTAAAGTTTCTATAAAAATAAGCTGGAAAGAGTTTGGTCCTGCTCTGACTGCATTTTTTAATCATCAATTTGCCCCTCCAGTGCATCCACCCATTTCCGAAGCCAGGCTCATGCTTTTGATGCACCATCATGGCTAAATACAGTATATCATTTAAAAAAAAATAGTGAAGACAAAAATTACTGCTTTAAACTTCCTTATCAAAGAAGAATGCATCCATATCTATGCTTATGCAGACAAGTCAAAGGACAAAAGGGCAAGGTACCCTTCTAATGACCAACTCAGCATGAAGAAAGAATGCATGATACAGTTGGCCACAAAGATGTAGCAACCTAATTTTTATCAGAATACTAGTGAGTTTACAGAGGTTCTTCACAGCTTTAAGAATATTTTTAATAATAATAATAATAGTTATATACCAGAGACAATTTTGGGGGGTTTGGTGGGGAATGGTATCAAAAACAGTGGGGGGAGGGAAATGCACTGGACTTTGCTGATGGCACGTTGGTGATTTGGTGATGGGAAGCCCAAGGGGATTACAACTGAGATGGAAAAATACACAAAATGCTGTAAAAATAAACCATTATATTAATTTTAAAAAAAGAATACTTTTGAAACTAGAACTACACTTATGCTACATTTCATTAAATAGACATTATTTAGTTAAGTTGAGTAATTCTTTTTTTTTTTAAGATTTATTTATTTATTCACACAGAACTGGGGTACAGGCTAGAGATGTGGAGGGTGAGAGAATTCACCAGGGACAGAGTGGGGAGCAGAACAGGCAGACTGATGAAGTACACTGCTGAGAGGAGCAGCAGGCGGGTCAGGAGAGGTCTGCCGTGCCACGTGGTCACCTCCGGAACAGCCGGGGATCAAACTCATGGCTTAAGCTTCTTAGTGCAGTGTTTTAACCCGCTGCGCCACCAGGCAGGGCCTGAGTAATTCTTCACTGTAACACCAATAGCTACAATTTCAGAATATTCCTTCTGAGATCCCTAAAACTAATGTAAGGCTTTTTTTAGGAAAAAGCCAGAGAATGCTTTTACTTCATTTTATTTTTTTAAAGTTTATTTTTATTAAGTGGGGAGCAGAACAGGTATTTCAGTCAATCTGTCTGTTCTGCTCCTTAATCTGTCTCTGGTGAATCCTCTCACTGCCCCTGCACCTCTGGCCTGTACCCAAGTTCTATATGCATAAGTTTAAAAAAGAAAGAAAAAACAGTTTATTGAGAAGATTAATAAGATAAGTTTAATAAAGTACTAGAACAATCCCCACTAAATGTTATCTATAACTTAATAAAAAGTGAATATTTATTCATTTAAATTGACTGATGCATGGTACTAAATAATTAAGAATAAACGTAGGGCCTCTTTAGTGACACAATGGGTTAAGTCTCAGCACTATGAAGCCACTGCAGCATGAGTTCAATCCCTGGCCAGGGAGCTGACCCACATGGCATAGCAGACCTCTCCTGTTTTGCCCACTGCTCCCCTCAGCAGTTTATTTCAGTCATTCTGCCTATTTTGCTCCCCACTCTGTCTCTGGTTCCACTCCCACCTCTGACCTAAGCACCAGCCCTTGTATGCATAAATAAAAAAATCTTAAAAAAAAAAAAAAAAAGCTAATTTTAAGACCAAAAAAGGAACAGTAAAATGACTAAATGAAAATACTACTGAAACAGATACTATCACTAAAGTTAAAAAAAAAAAAAATGAGTGACATGGGGAAGATGCTGGGGAAAAAATTATCTTAGTCATCTAAGAGTAGATCGCTTTCTTCCCAAAGTGCCATACAGGTTCAATATAAGCCATATCAAATCCCAGCTGGTTTTTGTGTTTTTCTTGAAAAATTGACAAGTTGAACCAAAAGTTTTTACAGAAATGTAGAGGATGTAGAACAACCAATCTTAAAAGGAGAAAAGGCTGGAGTCACACTTCCCATGTTTAAAGCTTACTATAAAGATAGAGAAATAAAAATGACTGGTACTGGCATAAGCTAAACCTATAGTTTGAAAGCATAGATTCACAGTTTACTAATAAACCCTTATTTTGTGATCAACTAATTTTTCACTAAGAGTGCCATGAAACTGACAAAAGAATAGTATTTTCATCAAATAATCCTGGGACAATGGTATTTTAGATTAAAAAAAAAAAAGTTGAACCCCTACTTAATACCATACAAAAGAAATTGATCAAAGACCTATATGTGGGTCTCCCTGGTGGCCTAGGGGTTTAGTCTCAACACTGTCACCACTACTGCCTGGGTCTGACCCATAGTCAGGGATCTAGGCCACACATGGTGCAGTGGACCTTTCCTGTCTCGCCCGCTGCTCCCCCTTAAGCAGTGTATTTCAATCAATTTGCCTGTTCTGCTCCTCACTCTGACTCTAGTAAATCCTCTCCCTATCCCCAATCTCTGGCCTATAACTCAGCTCTTGTGTGCATAAATAAATTAATGTTTTTAATATTTTTTTAAAACTGCCTAAGGCATAACAAATGTTTAACTCAAGCCTCAGACCAATGCTAAGAAGGATCAAGATCCCCTAGCAAACAAGATGGAAAACACTTAATAAAAATAATGGTCAGACCTTAAGGAAATGCCTCTACACACATGCCAGAATAAATGAAACAACATGGGTGACTCAAAGAAACATAGCGAGTATCTTCAAAGGAAAAGAAGCAAAGCAGAATTAACCTATGATTTTAAGTGAACTCAAAGGTTAGAGAATTAATGATTAACAGTGACTTAAAAATCAGTAGTCTTCCATGTGGTTTCAAGGGTTGGATTACTAACTCTAACATCTAAACTAACAAAAATGTCTATATTTTAAGAATTCTACCTGATTTTATGAAGCTGTTTTGAAGTGAAGGATCTCCAGAAGAAATATACTGATGACTTGTAAAATTTGTATTCCCAGGCATAGTTGGTTGAGATGATGCACGAGGGCTGTGGTTTGTTTGTGGTCCTGTGGATTGATAGTTATATTGCCAATTTGAAGATGGTGGTACATTGGCTCCAGGAAGAAAGCTACCAGAAGGCAATGGTGTAGCAGCTGGGTTCTGAGAAGTAGGTAGCGGCATTTGGGGAACAGGACCACTAAGGAATGAAGGTGTCACTGGATTAGAAGTAACAGGTGGTCTATTAAGAGTCTGCCCGAGTCCCTGATAATTACTTAATGGAGAAACAGTCTGAGAACTACCATAGTTAGACTGTCCAGAGATTGGATTCAACGTCTTTGCTGGTATTAGATGAGGATAGGATCCTGGAAGCTGAGAATTATATCCTTGGCTCACCGACACTTGTGAAGACATCAGTGCATTTGGGACAGGACCTTCCAATAAGAAAATGAAAAATTAGTCTTGCAAACAAAGCAGTATTTTTAATAACTACATTAAAACAAATCATACTCATACAACTCAAAGAAAACCCAAAAAAACCCAATTTAAAAATGAGCAAAGGGGGCCTTCCCTGGGGGTGCAACAGGTTAAAGCTCAATACTATGAAGCCATCCATAGCCACTGCAGGATGAGTTTGATCCCCAGCTAGGGAGGTGACCCACATGGCGCAACAGACCTCTCTGACCCACCAGCTGCTCCTCTCAGCAGTGTATTTCAACAGATCTACCTGTTACACTCCCCAAATCTCTGACAAATCCTCTCACCCCCTGCACCTCTGCCCTATATCCCAGTTCTTGTATGTATAAATAAATCTTTTAAAAAACTAAAATAAGCAAAGGACTTAAATAGAAATTTAAATATATTTAAAAAAAAAAAGACATACAAGTGACCAATAAGCACAACAGAAAACAATCAATATTACTAGCCTTTAGAGAAGAAAAAAAAAAAAAAAAAAAAAGATACCATTCACATCAACTAGGATGGCTAAAATGAAAGGGAGGAACCTCTGGTGGCTAAGGGGTTAAGTCTCACCACTACCATCATTAAGATTTCACCGAGATCACCTGAGTTTCATGACAGCCAGGGAGCTAACCCACTAGGCACAACAGACCTCTCCTGTCTCACCTGCTGCTCCCCTCAGCAGTGTAGCTCACTCAATCTGCCTGTTCTGCTCTCCACTCTGTCTATAGTGAATTCTCTCACCCACCCCACCCGCCCCACACCTCTGGCCTATACCCCAGTTCTTCTACACATAAATAAATCTTTAATTTTTTTTTAAAGATTTATTTATTTGTACATACAGAACTGGGGTACAGGCCAGAGGATCAGGGGTGGCGAGAGGCTTCACCAGAGACAGAGTGGGGAGCAGAACAGGCAGATCGACGAAGTACACTGCTGAGGGGAGCAGCGAGCGGGTCAGGAGGGGTCTGCCGCGCCATGTGGTCACCTCCGGGGCAGGCGGGAATCAAACTCATGCGGAAGTGCTTCTCAGTGCTGTGCTTTAACCCGCTGTGCCACCAGGGAGGGCCAAATCTTTAATTTTTTAATGGAAAATTAACTATTTATATCTAGGAATAGTTTGCCTAGATAATATATTAATTCTCAAACAGTAATAGATGAATTACAGAATCTCATATTCTAAAAATGACAGTGAAGATTCTGGTACTATGAGAAATTCTAAGTTTAAAGCAGTTAAGCAACTTGTCTCAAATCACACTCTAAGTCAACACAGTTGAGCTCCTAGTAATTTACAGTATTCTATACTTTAGAATTCACAAACATGTACATTCTCTGTTAGTATTTTATTAAATGTTGGCCTTTTCACCTACTAAATTCTCCTACTATATTCTATAATATTATAACTCTACAGTGAGGTGAATATCCAATCTGTGAGATATGCTACAAAAAGTTATCTAAAAGAATACAAACCCTACACAATCAATTTCTTGATAGTAAAAGATCATTCTATATGAAACATATTGGAAAGAGGCACTATAAAGTAGCAATGAAGAACACAGATTTGAACAACTACCTGAGATCAAATCACAGCCTTGACATTTAATAACTGTTCTTGAGCAAGATATTTAATCTTTCTAGACCTCAGTTTCCTCAGGAAAGCAATAGTTACTAAATTATAGTGTTGATATATATGGTATGGAGAAAAATGACACCCATCCACCCCCAAAATATGGTTATAGCTTAATCCCTGGAACAGATGAATGTTAGGTTTTAGGACAAAAAAGAATTAAGGTTGCAGAAAATTAAGGTTCTTCATCAAGAGAATTTGAGATTGAGATAATTTCAGTATATCAGGATAATCTGATACATAAACACAAAGGTGAAAGAGGGAGGTAGGAAGCTAGCAAGACCTGACAGGCCGGGGACCTCCCTGGTGGCTCAAGGAATTGTAAGTCTCAGTACTATTAAGCTACCTGCAGCCAATGAAGCACCAGTTAGGTCCCCAGCCACGGAGGTGACCACATGGTACGGCAGAGAGCTCTCCTGGCTCTCCTGCTGCTCCCCTCAGCAATTTATTTCTGTCAATCTACCTGTTTTACTCCCCACTCTGTCTCTGGGGAATCCTCTCACTGCCTCCCTCCCCACCACAACTCTAGCCTGTACCCCAGCTCTTGCATGCACAAAATAAATGAGTAAGTTTTGAAAACAAACAAACAAAAAAAGACCTGAAAGGTCACTTGAAAAAGGTAGGGACCATAAACCTGGATAACCTGCAGAAGGTGGTATTAAATTACAAAAGTACAACCAAGTGAAATTTTAAAATCTAATTGGCTTTATTAAACAATGAATGAAATGTTTATGATGGAATGTTTTGGGGCAGCATTGTATCAGGCAAGTAGAAAGGCACAGCAGAAATGTTATTAAAAATGGAAGGTTTTAACCCCATCAAGAAATGGGCAGAAGAGCTAACAAGACACTTCTCCAAAGAGAAAATGCAGACAGCCAACAAGCATATGAAAAAATGTTCAGCATCACTTGTAATAAGGGAAAAGCAAATTAAAACCACAATGAGACACCATCTCACCCCAGTGAGAATGGCACATCTTCAAACAGCCAGCAACAAATGTTGGCGAGGATGTGGAGAAAAAGGAACTCTCCTGCATTGCTGGTGAGAATGCAAACTAGTACAACCACTATGGAAAACTGTTTGGAGGTCCCTCAAACTGCTAAACATGGAGCTTCCCTACGACCCAGCAATCCCACTTCTAGGTATCTACCCAAAAGACACGAAAACACTGATTCAAAAAGACACCTGCACCCCCATGTTTATTGCTGCCTTATTTACAATTGGAAATACATGGAAACAACCCAAATGCCCAAAAGTAGCTAACTGGATTAAAAAGATGTGGTACATATACACAGTGGAATATTACTCAGCAACTAAAAAAAATAAACAAATGCCTTTTGCAACAACATGGATGGCGCAGGAAAAGATGGTGCTTAGTGAAAAAGCCAGAAAGAAAAGGAAAAATACCAGATGGTTTCACTCATAACAGGAGTATAAAGGACCAGGTGAGAAAATAATAATGAACAATTATATATCAGAGACATCTCATGAGGGTGAAGTGGGGAATAGGATCAAAAACAGTGGGGGGAGGGAAGTGCGCTGGACTATGGTGGTGGTACATGGGTGATTTGGTGATGAGAAGCCCACAAGGATTACAACTGAGATGAAAAAAATGCACAAAATGATGTAAAAATAAACTTATATTATTGAAAGAAAAAAAATTGAAGGTTTTTGGCAGCATCCCTGGTGGCACAAGGGGTTAAGTCTCAGCATGATGAAGCTATCTGCAGCCACTGCAGCACAAAATTCAATCCCTACTCATGGAGCTGACCCACATGGCACAGCAGACCTCTCCTGTCACACCTGCTGCTCCCCTCAACAGTGGATTGCAGTGGATCTACCTGTTCTGTTCCCCACTCTGTCTCTGGTGAATCCTCTCACCTCCCCAACCTCTGGCCTACACTCCAGCTCTTGTATACATAAACAAATCTTTACAAATAAATAAATAAAAATGGAAGGTTTTTATAGACATAAAGAGAGTAGGACAAGATTAGCAAAAGAAAAGAAGTAATGCTTCATGCAAGCCACATTCCATTAGGGAAGGCATAGAGAGGTCTTTCACAGATTACCTCACTAGAGTGAGCAGGGATTTCCTGCTTGATTAGTTTAGATTTCTACTTTGGGCAGAAGCTGAAACTGCAATTAGGTTAGGTGTTAAGATTTTCTGGGCCCATCATGAAGTACTCCTTTAGGGACTTTGTTCCTTTTCTTTTCATCCTAACAGCAGAAAAGGCAAGAAAACTGTCTTCTAAAGTCTTCAATAGGGAATGCAACCTGAATGACATATTTCAGGCTTCTGACCTCTAGAACTATAGGATGATAGATGTGCTGTTTTAAATCACTATTATCTGTGGTAATTTGTTATAGCAGCAATATAAAACAAAGTGAGAATGAGATTTATGTGAAATATAATCTCAGTACTCAACAAATATTTACTACTGTTATCTAAGAAATGTATCTGTCTCCTTAACACTGCAGCACAGTGTATTGCTAATTCTGTTATCAGTAAACTAATTTCATCTGTACTAACAATTTTCTTCAAGCCCTTCAATTTAATAAAGACTGATCTTATGGACTAACTTTTCATTTATTCCAAATGGTTAAGAACATTCTATTCATTCCCTAACTTAAAAGACACATTTTACTAAATATCTTCTGGACACAATAAGGTGAGTAACATCTACTCCATTACCACCCTCAGCCAGTTCACAGTGTCAAATGCAAGAACAGAGTGACAAATGGAAACCCATGAGAACACTGAGGAAGCAGCACTTGAACTAACCTAACAGCAGGAAGGCAGCAAAAAGATGTCCTGAGAAAGGCCAAGTTTAAATCATTTTTTAAAAGTTATTTATTTATGCATACCAGAACTAGGGTACAGGCCAGAGGTGGGTCCACCAGAAGTAGAGAGGGGAGAAGAACAGGCAGACTGACAGAAATACACTGCTAAGGGGAGCTGCAAGTTGGCCGGTAGGGGTCTGCCTCACCATGTGGGTCACCTTCTGTACAGTGGCTAAGGATGGTTTCATAGTGCTGCACTTTAACATGCTGCACCACTTAAGTGGTAACTGGAACTAGACTCAAGAAAAAATATCGAGTGTTCCCAGAAAAGGGAGCCTAAAAGAGCATTCTGGAAAAAAGTTGAGTATTGAAGACCAAAAGTCTGGTGACTGAGTGAAATAACTGATGTGAACACGAGTTCAGGACTTGATGATAGTGAGAAAATAGCATGCATTCAGTAGAAATTAGACTTCAAATATTTGAAATTTTATCTTGTCCTGAACTAGTAGCATGCACTGCAGTACTCTCTCATGGTTCTGGGAAAAAAGAATATGTAGTCATAAAACC